TAATCAAATGAACAACAATAACAAATGATTGAAAATAAGGGTTAAGGTAAAAAACTCAATAAGAGTTGAATCCAAGGTAACGTTGGTAATGATTATGGTAACGATCATGGAAACCGAATTGCTAATGATGATATGAAACTCATTTCTCTAGGTCATGGAGGAAGAGATAATATAATAACAATTAGAGTGATAATAATGTAACTTTCAACTAGATTAAGATTACTAATCGTCATGAAAGTAAATTGGTAAGAAGAGAAAGAAAAATTTTCCAATCTCGTTTATCAATCTAAATGAAAAACTTTCGCTTGAAAAGTTTTTCAGTTAATCAGTTTGATTTTTAATTGTTAATTGATAAGGAAAACATGTGAATGATGAGGATAATTGTGATGGGATGATGGAGATGATGGAGAAATAATGAAAGGTTGGTTAACACCTATGATGAGGATGAGAAGAAGGAAGAAGAAGAGGAAGAGGAAGAAGATGGATGAGAGGGAGAGGGTGAGAGAGATAAATGAGGTCAAAGGAATTAGATGAAAATATAACTATTAGCTACTTGGAAATCTGGAGAAGAGAAAGAAAGAGAAACTTCAGAATATAACTCAGGGAGTGAATCGAATTCCCTGTTTTCACTCCAAGTTTATGAAGAAAAGAAAGAGAACTGGAAAGTTGTTGTCATCTTTATCTTCCTCTTCTCTTCCTTTTCCATAATGTATTATATTCTCTCTCTCTCTCTCTCTCTCTTCTCACTTTTTATCTTCTTCTATCTTCCTGTTTTCTCTTTCTATGCTCAGACTTTTATCGCTCTCAATCCAACAAACTACTAAACTCGAACTCAAATCACTTTTTTTTCCAAGAACAAATTCGGTGATCCCCCGGTTCCTTCATCATTTTCTCATCTTCTTCCCATTATCATCTTCATCCTTTTCTTTTTCATCCCTTTCCCCTTTTCTCTCTCTTTCTCTCTTTTTTTATCTTCCAATTCGGTTTATTTAGTTAAGAAGTTCAAGTGAGGATGAAACACCAACAACATCCCAACAAATTGAATTCTCCCTAATCAACACAATTAACTTGATTTTCTAATCACAATCAACTTTCATCATATCATTAAAACTTTCATATCGTTGTTTAATGTTACTATCATTGTATTTTCATTCATATCAGTCCAATCTGATAAACAATCAACTCCGTTCGGTGTCATCTTTATATCATCAAGATTATCATCAACAGTTACATTTATCATCTTAATTGTTTGTGTGTTTTTTGTATCTTCAAATCAAATCTTATACCAATATAATCAAATGTTTTTCATTTTGTAATCTTCTTATTTGTACCTTTAATTGTGATTGATTTAGATTCTCAGAATCTTCAGTTAAAAGTTTACTAAATTTCGTACAACAATTTGTTCAAACTTTGTTTTTCTCCTTTGATTCTGTAATCGTTTGTATCTACTACAAGCAGTTGTTTTTGCTTTTATAACTTAAGTATTTATTGATAACAATTAACTGATTAATCGTGAAATAATCATGAAAATCCTCACTTTGCACAAAGTAGTCGTCATGGGCGCTGGTGGGGTCGGTAAAACCTCATTGGTGACCCAATTTGTATCACAACTTTTTCCCTCTTCTTACAAACCCACCGTGGAGGATTTTTACTCACACACAATTACACTTCCAGGTGAGTTAATTGTTACCATTAATTTAGACAGAGAAAGATTAAGTTCATCTCAAATTTCATGGAATTATCTTTTAATCTTTTACGAACAAAATTAACCATTTCGCAAGAAACACTTTTGACCTGAAAATATCGATTTCCACCAATGAGAAACTGTTCAAGTTTGAAACTTTCAAGAGCTTGACCCACATTCTCAAGGTCAGACTGTTAGTTGAATATCGATTCACCTCTTTCGCTCTCTGTCTTCGTTTCTCCTCTTACTTTCTCTTTCTCAGTCTTTTTCTTTTCTTCCTCTGGTTCATCATCATTTATCTTCCATGGGTATTGATACCTAGTGTAGGTTCAACTTTTCCAGGGAAATTTCATCTCTTTCTTTTTACTTATCTTCCTTTTTATTTCTCTCTGAATCGGTGATTCGTTTCAATAGAAACCATTAATTTTTTTTTCTTCTCTTTCGTTGGAATTGAGGATAAACTTTCCTTTCGATTTTCTCTCTCATTTACATGTTCGAATTTGATTGTATTATCATGAGAAAAAATTGATCACAATCAATTTTAATAAATTTACTATCAACCGAATAACCTTAATATTTAATCAGCTATAATAACTATAAGAGAGAAACTTAATCAAGAGGGTTGATTGTTATGGCAATTTGATCATGTTAGTTGATAATGGAAATAATTAATCGATTCGATGTTTCATTTCTTGACCACTGACCAGATGGTATGCGTCATACAGTTGAAATACTGGACACTGCGGGCACCCATTGTTTCCCAGCGATGCGACAGCTCAGCATTCAAACCGGAAGAGCTTTTGTTTTGGTCTTTTCCGTTGATAGCCTTCAGTCTTTCTATGAGACCATCAACTTATACGAGCTCATCACCAAGATAAGAGGTAAATAGTTGATTGATTGTTATGAGTTTCCAATTATTTTCAATTGATAATTTAATCCATTTCTTTGAATTAGGACAAGAAGTTCCAATTGTTCTGGTTGGAAATAAATGTGACCTTGATGAAGATCGTAAAGTCGATGTTGATCTGGTTGATACAACTCGAAGTGAAGTGATGAACAATATTCCTTATGTCGAGACAAGTGCCAAACTGAATACCAATGTAAAAAAATTGTTCCACGAATTGTTACTTCAGGCTCGAGGCGATGGACATAATTTGAAAAAAAATCGAACCCTAATACGACGCTTAGGGTCATTTGGATCGCTGCCCAATATCAGTAAACTTAAGCGTAAACCTTCAGGTGAAGGGAGTCCAGTTAAAAGTAATAACAATAATAATAATAATTCAAATGGTTCCGTTAATAATAATAACGGAATCGGAATCAAGAATGGCCTGGCCGTTCATGGGAAAGATAATAGTCTCGATTTAGATGTCGTTAGGCCAAAAAGTAACGTACACCACCAACTTTCATTAGAGGAGAGCGGAAAATTGAAACAAGATCCCGCTTGCATAATATCATAATAATCATAACAATTAACTAATTGGACATGAAATCATGTCAAACAATCAAAGATCAAGCAGAAAATCAGTAAACACCAAAACCAAACTACAGTTGAACATTTAAACAAAACTGAATTGATTTACTAATCTGAGAACCTCTGAATTTGAATTAACGTTTAAATTGATTAGAATCACGTTAATTTATCTTGAGCCAAATTTTGGAAAAACAATTAATTACATTATATCTTTGGCAAGAGATTCAAATTGACAATTTAATAAGACAATAAGAAAATCAAATGAACATAAACCCTGTTGAAACCATGAAGAAAATTAATTATTAGAAATGTTAATTATTTTTCACTTTTCTGTTTTCTTTTCTCCGTTGATTTTAAAGCGATAAACACAATTAATTAGTTAATCATCAACACCAGAGTTTTAATTATCCGATAAAATGAAAAATTATGATCATTAGATTTACACCAAATCAACAAATTATAATTTAATCTCTTGATCCGAGTTAATTATTTACTTTATTATCGAAATATTTTCTCAATCTAATCAACAATTTACTTTAAATCTTTTCCCGTTCGTTTTTCTTTTGCCAAATTAACTAAACAACAATTAGTGGAAACAATTGAAAAGCTATCGTTGTATTAATAGTCCTTTATGAAAAAAAAGAAATGAAGAAATTATATTCCGATAACATAGTTAATTAAAGATAAAAATGTACACACAATTTACTCGAGAAAAGGAAATTATCGAAATGATTAAGGTTCGAGTATAAAAAGAGTAACATATCAAAAATATTTTCAATTGATTTAATTACAACAATAATTCAATAATAATAATAATAATAATGATGTAATAGAAAAACGCTCAGCCCTTTTATTTATCATTCCCCGAATTTCCCTCAGCCCGAATGGGTCATTTGTTACTAACAATTAATAAAAAACAATGTATTAGATGGTCAAGTTAATCGTTACCACCAATTGTCTCGTTCATTTAATCGCGTCATCCGATTCATCGTCCACTGGTCACTCGCCATTGCCTCGAGAATCGTATCACCATAACGAACTTTGAAAAAGTTTCCATTCCATCCGAATGAGTTTTCTCAGCGAGAATCAATTTCCCTCGGCAGCAAAAAGTTTGTACTCTCGGCGGGACTCGAACCCGCAATCCCCGGTTTAGGAGACCGATGCCTTATCCATTAGGCCACGAGAGTAATTAAAGAGGAGCGTCAAAGATGAGACGGAGAGAGAGACAAAAGGAGCGACAGTTGATCGATTGGATTTGTGATCACATCTAATCAGGGAAAACTAATCAATTTAACGAGCGAATTATTTGATTATTTCTGTTGTTTCCTATGGAGAAGATGAAGGTGGAAAACAGAACTGAAGACCATGAGGCTTCATTCAAATTCGAGCAATTTGAAATCAAAAGGAAATCAACTAATCGATAAGTGATACTGGTTAAGAGAATTGAGAAAGAAAATGGAAACTAATCAAATTTCTATTCTTTATACCAATTAAATGTTTCTTTGAATTTCAATTGTTCAACTTGAATTCGAAATCATCTATACTCCAACTATAATAATCCATCACTTGAAAGGAATCATCTTTTCATAATTTCTTCCAATGCAATTAACAATAGTTGTGAATGATGATTTTCACGAGGAAGTGAAAAATATTAAACTACAATTTGTCTACTAATCGAATAGTTAATCGTTAGGATTGATTAATTTGCGAGAAGAACTTGAAACGATTAAAGTTCCCTCTGGGAGAGAAAATGGTAAATTTGTTGCTCTTTTAAAGGAGACATTTGAAATTTCCCGCGAATTATTGAGTCGCCATCTTAGTTGATAAAATGAAACAATTAAATTTATCCGATGAGGAGACATGTTTATTTGTTGTTGTTGTAGAAGAGGAAGTCGATTAAATTGAAATCTCATTTTTTTTCCAATTGGATAAATAACCATGTCATGATAAGAAAAATGTTTTGAAGGAGGTAAACAGATGATGAGAGAGAGAGAGAAAGAGAGAGGAAGAGAGATGATGAGAAAGAAAGGAAATGAGAAGAAAAAAGAAAGAGAGAAGTACAGAGATAAAGAAAAGTACTTTGTGAAGATACATTAAAGACAATTGTGAAGAGGATTACATGCAACAGAAGAAAGTAAAGGAATACATTGAAAAAAAGAAAAGGATATTATCATTTATGTTGAAATGATTGTAATATATTCGGATAAATTCAATTGTTGCCTTATAACATCACCATTTCCATCGGTGGTTGAAGATTGGTGGTAATTGTGGTGGTGGTTGAATAGATGTGATGATAATGTTAATGGTTTGTCTTTAATTGTAGATTGTTTTTTCTTAAAGTTGATGTTGATAAATGATGATAAGAGAGAAATTTACTGTCTTAATAAATTGATCTGTACGATTTGAAGTTGTTTAAGGTTTTTAAATTATCATCAAAAAATGTTGTTTGTTGTCTTGTTTTACTTTTCATCTGTTGATTAATTTTGCTTTTTAAATAATATTACTTGTTGATGTTGTGTAGTAGTGATGGTGATTTTTGTTGTTTGGTTGCCTGATTATTCAGCATCATCACCGCCATCATCTTCTTCAGCGACTTCTTCATCGTACTCTTCTTCTTCCGCCGCTGAATCTTCACCTTCATCTTCCACTTCTTCTTCAGCTTCATCTTCCTCTTCTCCTTCTTCACCCTCTTCCTCATCATCAAGAACTACCACTGATTCATCTGCCTATATAATTAAAAAGAATCAAGATTTTTTACGATTAATGATTAATAACAAGTAACTTACGAGTAACTTTTGTTGTTAAATATAAAATATTGGATAAAATTGAATTACCTCTTCTTCGGCTTCGGATTCTTCATCATCATGGTCTCCCTCTTCCATGCCATTTTCAACTTCCATATCAGGTACAAGGAAATACTGTAATGGATTAGGCCACATGTCATCTTTGATCACCTCAGCAATATCATCAGCGGATGCATCACCATTTTGAAGGTACCAGGTGAAAAAGGTTTGTCTTCCACCTGATCGTTTTCTTTTCCTAATGTTTGCACTACTTAACCTATTCATGGTTTGATCTTCAAGTTTTACGGCTGCTTCAGTATTTTTCCAATTAATTGGTGTGGATGATGAAGCGGGATCACCAGAGGAACCAAGATGAAACTCTTTGACAAGTAATTCATTTGCAAAATAAGGATTATTGTCAAAGCGAAATATTATCCGGTATCCAGATTTAATGTCTTCAAACTCTTCAACCTCTAACTTGTTCAAATAATTGAGACATTCTTCCTCTTCTTCTTCCAGAATGGTGGTTAATGTAGGATGATTAACAAATGCAGTTACCCAAAAATTAGGAATCTTTTGGATGAGATCACTTCGCTTCTCAAAATAAGGTTTCCTCAGTTTGTTATATTTTTGTTCAACTTTAAGTATCTCCTCAGATGCCTTTTCATTCAAAGAGTCAATCTCATTTTGACACGCATCTATCTCTTCAAGAGCTTTTTGTGTCTCTGGATCGTATTCTCTTTCCTTAGAACCCGATTCATCACCACTGATAACATAAACTAATGAACCTTGTTCACCATCACCAACACTACCAGAAGAACCATTACCACAATTTTTACTCTCCTTACTAACATTATTCTTTAAAGAACCGGCATCCTCCACCTTTTCTTCAATATCGCCGCTTGTCTTCAACTTTTTCAGTTGTGGCCCATTATCGGAAGAAACATCTTCATTGGTTGATGACATGATTGTTCACAAAAACAAATCTATATAATCCAAAGTAGAAACAATAGATAAACAGTTCAAAAAACCGAGAAAATCATAGCATAAGAATAATTAACAAAATCAAATCAAAAAAGAAAATATAAAATCTTTACAAGAGAAAGAGAAGAGAGAAACAGGTTAAAGAAGATGAAATAAAAAGGATCTTCTATACTTCCAATACAATAAAAGCAAAATGAATACAAAAAAAAGACACGCGCTAATAAAGGAGAATCAAAAAATAATGTTAACTTACCTAAGATAACAAGTGTCACTCTGTGATATTTCAAATCAGTAACCTCTAAAGGTGAGGTGATAAGCTGGTATAATCCAATTAACCAAATAAAAGACAATTAAACAAAAATTAATACAATTAAATGGAAAACAAAGCAAAAAATCAAATTGAAACAAAAATTTTTTCGTTTTTTTTTCAAGATAAAAGCCGTTTAAACGCCAACTAGCTAAGCTTTTTTTCTCGATTATCAGCGAACTTAATTTTCTTTTCAGTTGATCAAATTGAATGGAACACTTTCTACTCACAACGAAAGAATAATTAAATTTAGAATATGTTTCCTCTACAAAGGACAATTTTTATCTAATCTAATTAGAAGAGAACAAATAATTAAACTAATCAGAGAAACTATGGTCAGTCGATTAATTAGTTACTCGGCTAAGCTGGAACTCTACAAACTCTGGTGGCTCCATCTCTTTTTTAGAAAATCAGTTTAAATTTCTAATCTTTTTTCCCACTTACTTTTTTTAATTTGATTCTTCATTTTTAATTATTGATTTACTTTTATTTTCATTTCTTTTTATTAATTGGGTTAATTAATTGTTTGTCATTTTTTTCAGAGAATCAACAGTCAATTTAACTTTTCCTAAAAGAAATTAATTAGTTGATTGATTACATATTCTGATTACTATTTCTCATGGTGATTGTTTCTTGTTATTGTAAGAAATTGATGATAATTTGACCAATTAAGATCCATTTAGAGTTTGTTAATTAGTTAATTGCTCTAGTAACCATTGATTATGATCGAATGGGGTTTGTTATAAATGTCCCATACAAAGTGTGTCTTTAAGATAAATTGCTTGTAAACATGATAAATATGAAGCAATAAAACAAATGAATGAGTTAAGCCTCAATAAAATATTTCTATGATTAAATCATCAAATTAATCTGTGTAATTGGTTGATAACAATTACTAGTTAAACATTAATATTCAACTTTTTATTTCTAAATTTAAGAAATTCACATGAATGATTAGTTCGGTTTACTAATCAAATTTATCAACATGTTTACATCTTTACTTTGTACAATTTATTTTAACTTGGAGTTGATTAAGGAAAATAATTGATTAAATTTTCAAATTAATGAAAGTAAATCGGATTGGAGTTGATTATTTGTCCAAAATTAATCTCTTTTGTCAACTGATGGTTGATTTTTGACTGATAATCATTTGATTAAACAAAACTGTTTCCATCCAAATTAATTCTGAATAAAAACAATCAGTTAAATTGATACTTTAAACCTTCATTTCCGATAAAAACTATTCAAGGTTAATGTTAAATTGTAGTTGATTAGATTAAGATTACACTTGAATGTGCTTGTTTTTTTAATCTCCTCACTGGTGTAAATATCCACTTGACATAAATACGAATAGTAAACAATTAAAGGAGACACACACTTGATTATAATCCTCCAGTAGCATTTGATAATAAATATTTCAATCCATAAACACTAATCCTGAATATTGATTGTTGATTAGAAATCGGTAACTCGACCTTTCCGTTCCCAGTCCCCATATCTTGTCGGCTCAGGTCCAACTGGGCCACCGACCTCACCGGTAACTGGATTAGTACCATCAGGAAAAGGAGCATAGGCATTAATTGTTGCCTTAGAATCTTTAATTGTCACCGAAGGTTCAGCTTTTTTCGGTTGTCTGTCCAACCTTCCAAGAGGAGTATTTGGATCTGGATCTTCAATCGGTTTTCGAGTTTTATTTTCACCACCATCATTAACATTACTATTTCAGAATAAAAAGGAAAACAAAAATAAAACAATCAATCAAATTGCAATGAAACAAAATCAAACTAAATCACCCAAAGAGTTTCGTTAATGTTTACAAACCTAGAAAATTTCATCGACGGTTGATTAGAGGTGACGAAAATTTTAGAAACGATTTCCTTTCTGATCAGTGGGATCGCCAATCGACCAGCATTGTTAATCATCATCTTTAATTACTCCAATAAACGGAACAACACACAATAAGAAGAGATAATTTCTAATCAATTTACCTTGAGTTAAATTCTGAAAAATCACCAACATCAGCTGAGGATTTCGGTTGCCAGGTAACAAAGTAAATAAAAGGAAATTGAATTTTCAGTTGACTTTATTTTGTTTCCTTCTCTTGTTATCTAATTGGTGATTAAATTGTATTCTTTTGTTTTTATTTGTGATAAAATGGATGATATTTTTGATGAAGATGCCGATGAGTTGGTCTTGATTAGCAGAGAATATGAGAAATTAAGTGAGAACATCAGAAATGATGGTCTACGCGATGGAATCTCTCAAGGTCAAGACTCTGGATTACAAAGAGGATTTGATTCTGGTTACAATGAGATATTTCCTGCTATTGAATCAATTTATTTTCTAAAAGGTGTCATGCAAGCAATTTATTATCGTCCAGAAGAATTGTCTTCACAATCAATAGCCGTTGATGATGAAGGAAATAAGTGTCTTGGTGAATTGTTGAAAGAACTACGAGTAATTGAGAAAGATGTTCTCAGAGAATTGGGAGAAAGACAAACGCTATCACAATCAACTGTTGATTCTTTTGACCAAATTAAGAATCAATTGCTAACAGTTTTGGAGAAAATGGACCTTCAAATTGACGATGATGAGCTAATCAACTGTTCCCTCAAAACTAAACACCCAAGTAATGGTTCAGCAACAAATGGCTCATCAAATGGCAATTCAGTTGATTCAACAGCCAATCGATTCTTTGATTAAACAAATTATATTTTTTTGGAATATTTTTTCAACAGATTCTATTTATCCAAGCAGATATTTTCTACCTTTGATATAAATATATATGTTTAATTGGAGGAAAATCAATTCGTAAATGTAAACCAGAATAATCAACAAATTAAAAGTCTTTATTCAATCCAAGTGGTAAATTAAACTTCCAGATACATGTAAAAGTTAAAGTGTCAACAACATTGTCAATCTCATTGATTATCTTCAATTGTATTGTAAATCCAATCAAGATAACTGGAGACCTTCGTGTAAACCCCTGGTCTCTCTGGTCGAGCACAACCAATACCCCACGAGACAACACCGATTATGACCCCATGTCCATTTTTCAACTGAACCAGTGGACCACCCGAATCACCCTGACACGAATCATGTTTACCCTCCTTGAAACCAGCGCACAACATTTTGGGATAAACTCTGGATCCATAATAAGATCGACATGTTTCCAGACTCATGAGCGGAACTTCAGTCACTCGAAGCACTGGTGAACCACTCACAGAATTGGATTCAGAGGTTCGACCAAATCCTGTAACAATCGCTCTGCCAGTTAATTGTTCACCTTCTCGATTAAAATCATCGTCATCGTCATCGTCATCATCATCACCGGTACCTCGATATGAATCGGGCAAACAAGCGGCTGTTATTGGATAAATGGCTGTGGACAAATCGATTGGATCAGTTGTCTTAATTAGCGCGATGTCGTTTTCAATTGTTGTCGAACTGTAATTGGGATGGATAAAAGTTGATTCAAGTTGAGATTTAACATTATTATGAAAAGGTGATAAATTGTTTGTTCCTAGAACAGCAATTGTATTATTGGAATCAAAATGAACGGCACAATGAGCAGCAGTTAATATCCAATTGTTACCAATTACTGTTCCACCACAGAAATGAGTTAATCCAAATAGACGTCGTTTTAATTGTAATGATACTTGCCAAGGGAATTCACCGTAATCAGCTTCTCGTCCACCAACAATTCGACCCTCTAATGATCTTAATTGTATTCCACATTTGGTGTACAATTTATTTCCAAACAACAATCGTCTTCGCTCAAAATTGGTACGATTTTTTTTCTCGAGTCCATTGATCGTTACAACGTTTAACTTTCCTAATTTTACCGAAGACGATAAACTATAAACGCAATTGATACAAATTGTTATCAATAATATTAGTTGGTAATTGTTAATTTTCATCATGTATATTATTCTAGATGAATTCACAATTTAAATCTTATATTATCAATGTTAATTGTCACTCAATTATAATATCACCGGAGATTTAGTTTAATATTTTCAATAGATGATTTTGATCAACAATTTGATTACGATTGAATTTAATTGAGTTAAACCAGCTATTTATATTACTTTGGACCAATGTCATCGGTTAATTGTTGATAATATTAATTTCCTGGTTTACTTGATGTTAATTATCAATCCAATTGCAGTGTCACCTACAACCTTGTCCATTATTGACCAGGAAATTAACAAATTGTTTAAAGTAAAAGTACCATCAATGTCATTTACCATTTAATTATTGACAATCCCTAGATTTAATTAGAAACAAATCAGGTCAAGTTGAATCGTTAATCCCTGTGACAATTAACAATTGACTCCTCACCAATGACAATTCACTTTTAGGATAATTTAAATTTAACCTGTGGTAAAATAATCATCTGATTAACAGTTTTTTCCATCTCTATGAACAATTTTCTCCATTGATTAAACTATTTAGTAAACCAAATTAATCTTTCATCTTTGGAAAACAATTAAGAATCGATGAGCCTTTAAGCCCAAATTGGATAAACTAATTGACCCTCCAGGGAATATCAATTAACCTTTAACCCTTCACTTTCCATCAACTATTTAAGATCTGAAACTTTTGTTTTCCGTCTTCATTAATGAAACTGATTCCAAAAAGTATTTTGATTGTAATAGTTAATTTATATTCTAAATCATGTCCGTAATTGCTGCTCTATCAAGTCTTCGTGATTTAACCTCGCAAGATCCTTCACCAACTATGGTTCCTCTTTTAACACGTGTTTTAATTGTTCCACTGATGATAATTGCTCGTCAAATCGGCAGTATCTTGGCCCTTTCGGGAGCGGGTGGCTTTTTGTTGGTCAGTTTATTGTTGTCACTTTTGACTGGACAACCGGTGTTACGATCTTTGGGCATAAATACAAAAGGATCAGTTCCCTTGGCTCGAGATTTTGATTACTATGAGAAAGATTCTGATTATACATGAATTTAAATCACCTTTGTGAATGTTAACAATCAATTATTCAACCTCATGTACAATGAACTTTGAACAGAACCAATTAAATCTAATCAAACTATTCACTCCTGAAAGTTTTACATTATTAGTGTTGTTAGCGGAAAATTTATTTCATCGCCATGAACAATTTGTTTTTCCAATTGTACAATGTAAATCATTTTAAGTGATTAATTTGATTACATTTTATGGGAATACAAGGGAAGAGAACAAAAAAAAGTTAATTGATGAAACACTGATTGATTTACCAATTTTCTGATGTTGATTGTAAGTTACACGTGGATGCAAAGCTTGACTAGAGCTTGAAACGAAAAGGATATTGATGAGAAAGAAAAGTAAATTAAAACTAAATTAGAGATGTAAATGAGATGAGAAAATTGGTTATCCAATATTGGTAATAAGAGGGAAATTAAATTGCCAGAAAAAATCACTTAATGTAATAGATGCAAGATGGAAAAATAATTTAGCTGCTGAGAGATAATTGGATAAATGCGATCGTCATCTTAATAGCAGAAATCAGGAGCAGATTAATGAATTGGGATCTTAATCAAATTATGGACGAGTGATTAGTGGAAGACACTTTGAGAGATGCAAACGAAAAGATTGAGATTATAATTCATCGTGTTTCATTAAGGCTTCACCGAAATCGGTGGCTTGGCTTCCGACAAATAGGTCGTAATTGGCGAGAATTTCATCTTTAGTTAGATAACCATCCTGAGAGAAGAAAGAGAAAACAATTAGAAATCAGTTAATTTGAATTATAATTAGATGACAAAATGCTGAAGGTTCTCACCTTGTCTTCATCTGATTCAGATATTAAGTGTTTGGCCTCAACGCTGCTTAGGTCAGAATCTTCTGGGATAATCCAGTTCTCAACTTCTTTACGATCAAGAAAACCATCAGAATTTTTATCTCGCACTGATTGAAATTGCTCTTTCTCCCTGATAACCCAATCAGGTACCTCGGAATCACCTCCATCATGGCCACTGTACATATCTTGTATGTACTCATCAAGAGAGATTTTCCCGTCGGCATCTTTATCGACATCTTCCAGAGTCTCATCGATAACAATATTCTTCATGTGTTCAGCTTCCTCTGGATGAAGAAAATGAGTAAATTCCTCCTTAGTTAATGAACCATCGCCATTTTCATCTGCTGTTTTCCAACGTCTCTCATCCCGTCTCATCATATCATTATAAACTCGAGTGTCTTCCTCACTGACACCATTATCTAAATCGTCCATAAATCCATAAGTGGCCTTCTTATAATCTTCCCATGAGAGTAAATTTTTCTTTGAAATTCTATGAGTTTTCCATTGTCGCTCTACATCATCAGTAACGTATTTAGCTTGACTCTTTTTAATCCAATTCTTTAATTCATCAAGTGAAACTTTACCATCACCATTGATATCAATTTTATCCACAATTTCACCTAATCTTTCCTTTGATTCTTCTGGGCTTAGATTATCAAAAGCTTTTGATTCCTCGGAACCAAGAAAAGCTTCATGATCATAAGCTGGATTATGTTGATTTGCATCAGAAAAATGTTCTTCATTGCTTAATAACTAACAATTGAGAATAGAATAGAAAATGAAAAACAAGGAGAGAGAATCAAATTAATTATCCAATTAAAACAAAAGTCACATTATAGAATTCAACCAATTACAATACTTACATGATCGTGTTGTGATTGTTTACAAATTACAAGAGAAATTAAATGAAAAGAGTTAATTGTAAATACAATTAGAAAAAGTAAATAACAAGTCCTTTGTAATGTAGACATTGAAGGAGATATTTATAAGGTGTTTTCACCACAATAGAAAAACAATCAATTGGAGAATAATTTAATCAGTTTAAATTGAAGAAATAGAAAACTTTGATTGTCGATTAACTTAGAAAATGAAAAAATTAATAAAAATAGAAAAACTAATTGATGAAAAGACAATCAAATGAAAAGAAATTGTAACGAGATTGTATCAACTCATTCACTAGAAAACATCTGATGAGTTGTAACAACAAAGACCAAACCTCTTATTAAATGGTTACTCCTTTTTGGTTAATTCTATTTAAAGAAGCAATTAACTGGCCCGAATTAGAGTAAACAATTAACAGTTGATTTCTTCTCATTGACCGAGACCAGAATTCAAATGTTTATGACTAATCTTTGGATGGAAAAATCAATCACAACGATAATTCAATTTGGATTAATTTCTCCAATTCTCTTGTTAATTTTGAGAGAATCAGTTGATTGGAAAATTAATCGGTTCCATGTTAATTAATCACTTTCTTAATGATTACTTTTTGATCTTTTTAGTTTTTAATATTTTATGTTTTGGATAAAAATCGATTAATTAAATTTTAATCGTCATTTAAGTTGAGACAATTAAAAGTTACATTTGTTAATAATTGAACTTTTTTTTCTGATTCATTAATTGATTTTAATTTTGTTTCACTTTTTCTTGTTTCTTTTTTAATCAAATTACAGTTGATTAATTGATTTTCCTCCTCTTAATCCACCCACCAACTTGATTAATTAACACACCCTTTTAGTATGATTAAAATGAGAAACAAAAAATCATAACAATCATATGATTTAAATCAATTGTCTTTTAATTGTTGATCAACTTTTTTCATTTCGATTTCTTTTACTCTGATAGTAAATCAATTCTCGATAATCTTGAAAGTGAATCAAATTTGATTAAATTTTCTTCAAAGATCATCATTAACTTTTAACTATTTTGTGTTCTAATTGTTGACAATTAAATTGATTGTCAAAGTTTCAAATAACTGAATTAGTTCATTTTCCAAAAACCAGATGGAGCCACCAAAGAATCTACGCTAAGATCAATAAGCCGATTAATTAATCGACTGACCTCAGATTTTCATTCAGTTTGATTTGAGATTTTCACTTTGATAATTAAATTTGTTTACTCTTGAACCTTTTCCTTTTAATTGTAAATTGTGATCACATTTTGTACAAATGATTGGGAACAATTTAGATTATAAAGAAAAATGAAATTCGCTGAGGAAAAGCTTACAATCTACAAACGGCTAACTTTTTCTGTTCCAATTTGATTCTGTCAATAATATTTGTTTATGTTTCATTTGTGTTGATTTTTGTTTTTAATTGTTGATTTTTTATTCTGTTGATTGAATTATTTCTGATTCTTTGACATTCGATTATATTGGTTTCACAATTCTCAGTGATTGACACGCGTCTCTTTTAAGGTGAGTTAATATTCTAATCACTAAGGTTGTGATTAAATCCTTTGTTTTTTTATCTTCTCTTATCCATTGGTTTTGCTTATAGAAAAAGAAAATTCGTTTCATTAATCTCTTACCATTTGCTTTTCTTTTTTCTTATCGTTGAATTTGTGTGATTTTTTTTTGCCTTTAGTTTGAATATCAAGTCGAAAATCTCATTAAGATGACATCTAATAGTGCCCCAAGTGGAGAAAATGTTAGCTCTGATAAGCTAATCATGGGTCCTGAACCAAGTTCGTTTGCTAAAGGATTTGGTTATGATGAAGCTGAAGAGGAAAGTGATTCTCGAGAATCAATTACTCATATCCACCATCAAGATACTGATGATAATGTTGCCAGTTCATTTGGTGGTATTTGTGGTGGTCAACCAAAGCCGAAAGTTTTAATAATGGGTTTGAGACGAAGTGGTAAATCAAGTATACAGAAAGTTGTATTTCACAAAATGTCCCCGAATGAAACTTTGTTCCTCGAGAATACCAACAAAATTGTCAAAGATGATATTTCCAATTCATCATTTGTTTCCTTCTCAATTTGGGATTTTCCTGGTCAAATCGATTTCTTTGATCCAACTTTTGAAACGGAAAATATTTTCGGTGGTTGTGGTGCTCTTGTGTTTGTGATCGATGCCCAAGATGATTATGTTGAGGCTTTGTCCAAATTATATACTACGGTAACTCGAGCCTTCAAGATCAACCCGAACATAAAGTTCGAAGTTTTTATTCATAAAGTTGATGGTCTCTCGGACGATTATAAAATAGACATTCAAAGAGATATTCAACAAAGAGCTAACGATGAACTATTAGGTATTTTACTCTTTCGACTGGAATTTATTCAATTATTTGTCATTCGATTTGGTTTGCATTCTATTCTAATTGTTTTTCGTTGATTACAGATGAGGGTTTTAAAAATATTCATCTCAGTTATTATCTAACCTCAATCTACGATCATTCAATATTCGAAGCCTTTTCAAAAGTGGTTCAGAAATTAATTCCTCAACTGGGCACATTGGAGAATCTTCTTAATATTTTTATATCGGTAAGTATCAATTATTGGAATTTAATTGATCTTCGTTGATCAAAATCCTTTTTTTTTCACCAACAGAACTCAGGAGTTGATAAAGCATTCCTTTTTGATGTTGTCTCTAAAATTTATATCGCTACCGATGGAAGTCCAGTCGATATGCAATCATATGAACTATGTTGCGATATGATCGACGTCGTTATCGATATTTCTTGTATTTATGGGTATGTATCACTTTTTCGAACCAACTTTTAGTCCATTGGTCGTTTCTCTAATACCATATATTTATCGTGTATTCATTTTTTAGCATCAAAGATGACGGCGAAGGTGCAACTTTCGACTCTAATTCATCAGCCATTATAAAGTTGAACAACAAAACTGTTCTGTATCTACAAGAAGTTAACAAATTTCTTGCACTAGTTTGTCTAATTAGTGAGAATAATTTTGAAAAACAAGGATTAATACAATATAACTTTTATTGTTTTCGAGATGCGATTCAACAAGTCTTCGAGGACCGATGTGCCAAACCTTTTTCTGAAACTTTACAAGAAATTTCTTGTTAGTTATGGTGTTGAAATCTATCCAAAGCATCATTGCCATTCTCATGTTGATTACAATTTCTTTTTTCGCCCATCTTCTTCTTCTTCTCTCTCTCTCTCTCTCTCTCTCTCTCTCTCTCTCTCTCTCTCTCTCTCTCTCTCTCTCTCTCTCTCTCTCTCTCTCTACTTTCTTTCTTAAAATCGTAGCGGAAATGAAGTTTAAAAATACTAGAGTGAGAGAGATAGTAATCACAATCAATTTGCTACCGGAAACTTTTTAATTGTTTTCCAATCGCTCAACGAATTAAATCTTGTTATGTTTTCTTTATCTAGATTATAAATTTTAATCCAGTTAATTGGTTGGTAATGTATCTCTTTACCCCTTTTCTCATCTTTTCTCTGTAACTAACTAATTGCTGAAGACAAAAAAAATCTATTTCTAAATCTATTCTCGTAAAAAAAACTCTAATGGTGAAAATAAATTAACTGAAATCATAATTTTCTGGGAAATAATTGCAACTCCCACCCGAAGGGGTGGTCCAGCCATCTAGTGACAATTCAATGTTACCTTGATGTAAACAAATGATTATCAATCTGTCAAAAAAATAAAAACATTGGAAGAGATAACAAAATTAGTTGACAATTAACTCTGAAGATCAGAGAATCAAAAAGTTTTCTGAATAGAACTTAATGTCCAAATTTCCGTTGATCGATGAAAAATAAACTCGAAAATTGAAATGTTCATCTTTCCAATTAATATTAATAGTTGAAGGTGAACATTGACAATCCTTTGGATCATTAATTAGAATCAAATGTTTACACTATTGTTTTGTTCGCAATTCTGTTAGAAATTAAAAGTAAATGAACTTCATTCGTGTTTTATATTCTTGTTGATATTTTTCCTTTTCTAATAGAAAAGATCGACATTAGAACAAAAATGTCTTCGAACGAATTCCTTTTATGGAAAATCTTTTAATAGAGTCTCGAGTTGCTCTGTGTAAATTTTCATTCGTTTCTAAGAGTAACAGAAATTCTCAAATTAGAATCAGTAAAACTCATGTAAGAATCATGATTAATATTCGAAGAAAAAAATGTGGTTACGAAATTTGAAACTTTTGTTTCTCGTTCTTTAAGATTTTCGAAAAAAACATAAACACAAAATAATTGGCAAACAATTAGCCAATTGTATTAATCGTAATACAATCGAAAATCTCAAAAGTAAGAGAGACAAACAATTTAACGAATTCAACAAATTTGAGAGAATAAAAAAAGTAATTAACAATTAAAAGTCCAACAAGCCACAAAGTGGATTCTCGCTGAACTTTACCCTCGTTAATCAATTTCTCAATCGATTATTAACTGAGCAAAGAAAAAATTAGCCTAGTAATCAATCATTTCACTCGAATCAGATGCAAATCAACAATTAATTCTTTGATTATTCTAAAAGAACTTGGATTTAATTTGCGAGAATCAAAAAGTCAAAGAAATGATATTTTAGAACTTGTCCAAAAAATCGGAAAACAAATAGAAATTCTCGATCAAAACTCAAATGAAGAGAACTTTAGTCTCAGTCAAGAATATATCTAGATGATTGATTTTATAATTGCCGAATAATAACCTTAATTAACTCGAAATTATGTCGAAAAAGGGGAAAAAAGAAGAAAATATTTTCTTAATTTCGAATGTTTGAATTTGGCGCGAGGAACTTTTGTCAGCTGGTGATCATCGATGGAACAAGTTTCCTGGTAACCAGTTTACTTTTCTTTATAGGGAATTGTAGTTGTTGGTTACAAGAATTGAGGTTTAACAATTTTTGTTACCTAAATAAAATATATTAATTATAAATCTTAGAGAAAGACTTTTTTTTTCTTGGTAATTTAAGTGTAAGTGTTTCAGTGATACTATGAGTGGCTCGGCTACTATGAATGAATACTCTGTCCAAGCTCTGCAATTACCTATTGGAAATCTCCAACAGGCTGTACCAGTTCAAGTTCCAATTTCAACGTCAAACGGACAAACAATATTGCAAACAATTCATCTTCCCTTACAAGCAATACAAGCGGTGGCTACGGGTCAACAAGTGACATTGCAGGTTGTTCCAAATGTTATCCAGGTTCAAGGATTACCCACCGGTGTCCAAACCATTCAAGTGCAAGGTGGAGGTCAACAACAAATAATCACAGCATCTCCTGCTGCTATTCAAAGTTTAAGTTTAACTTCAGGTGGAAATTTTGTTGCCACAGTGCCTGGCTCGGGTGGCCAACAGGTTAGTTTCTTACCTCTTTTTATGCTTCTTTTTCATCTTATGCTTGTTTCCCTTATTTAGGAAGAAAGTTAACCTATTTTATTTTTACTATTTTCGGTGAAAAGAAAATTATTATTATACATTATGTGTGTAGAAATATTTTACTGTTGCTATTCTATGAGACTGTAAGATTTGAGTTTGTTTTGCTTCTCATCTTTTATTATCATTTGTGTTTGATGTTCACCACAGATCCAACAAGTTCCAAATGACCCATCTAAATGGCAGATCATATCAGCACCTCCCACAGCCATCCAACCTGCATCTTCAGGAGCAACTCCCGCCTCATTTTCAAATACCTCTGGTAGTGAAACAACTTCAACTCCAGCCCAAGAAACTGCAACAGGAACTGGAGCAACGGGAACTGGACGTAAAATGCGTCGAGTTGCCTGTACATGTCCAAATTGTCGAGACGGAGAGGGTAGAAATAGTGAGACAAAAAAGAAGCAACATATATGTCATATTCCTGGTTGTAATAAGGTTTATGGAAAAACATCTCATCTTCGAGCTCATCTTCGTTGGCACACTGGTGAAAGGCCTTTTGTATGCAACTGGTTATTTTGTGGTAAAAGGTTTACTCGTTCTGATGAATTACAGAGACACAGAAGAACACATACAGGTAACATTTGTTTCATTCATTCTTTTCTCATCCTCATCCCAACGAAACATTAAAATGTTTTTTTCGCTCATCACCACAATTAACATCATTCTAATGTGTGTGTGTGTGTATTTATCTTCTCCCCCTGTCAACTTTTGATGCTCTCTCATTCTTTCTTTCTCTCTTTTCTTTCTTTCTCTGCCTCTTATCTCTTTCTTTTTCTGTCTTGCTATCATTTCACACTCGATTTGTTCTAATTTGTTAATATATTTTGATGATACTTATTATTCTTTAATATTATTAATTTATAATCAGGTGAAAAACGGTTCCAATGTGCCGAGTGCTTAAAACGTTTTATGAGAAGTGATCATCTATCCAAGCATCTTAAAACTCATCAAGCGAAGAAAGTAAATCAACAAAACCAAAGTGACGCAGAAACTGTTAATGCTGGTACAATAACAGTCGCTACTAAAAACGAAAGAACTGTTGACTCTGATCAGACTGAGTTGGCTATAAATGAGAATGTTGGTGATGGTAATTAATCAATTCTTCAATATAACAAATCGACTAAAAAAAAAACAAAAAACAAGAAATGAGAAAAAACCAAATCAACTAGCCTTTATATAATTAATTTTAACAACAACAACAACAACAACAATGTCACACTAAATTAAAACAAATATGGAGCATGAGGAAGAGAAAAAGAGATTGTATTTAACTATATATTCGTTTTATTATTATTATTATATTAAATAAACAAAGATAATTTTTCTGCTATTTTGTTAATAGTTGCTTCTAACATTCCAATTTCTTTTTCCGATCAAAAACTCCTCACAATTAACTCACCAACAATAAGATTAATTCTCTGTCAAAATAATTCCAAGTTCTTTCAATTTTAGCGCCTTCGAATTGACACAATTGGGGGACCGTTGATGAAATTAACTCCATTCGAATTCCTTTGTGATAAAGTTTCACAATTAGAGGTCAAGTAACTCCATTTGTCGATTGGACAAATTATGAGAATTTAATCACTTGAATGCGATTTACAACATTAATTCTGATTGTGAATATATCGGATTGTAAATAGAAAATGATACAAATTCATTTATATGAAAAAAATGAAGTTAATTGTTAACTTTTTCTTGCTCTAGTTGTGATAACTTGTTGATCAATATATTTGATTCATCGATCAATCAAATAGTAATTTCATTGAGTGTCTTATTGATAATATTAGATTTTTTTCTTCTCTGGAATTTGTGTAAAAAAATGTAGAGTTAATGATGAAGGAATTAGAATAATTTTCCTTTGAAAAGGTAATTAATATGTTCCAAAGCGGTAAAATGGTCATTGAATTCGTACATGACACTTTTCGCTGATGACCAATATGGATAGAAAACAAGTTCTTTAGTTATCTTGTGTTTCTTATGAGACTTAATAGTTGATGATTCGAGATTAATTAAACTTTTCAAACTTTTATTCACTATTGGATCGCAAATGATTAGCTGTAAGAGAAAAGTGGGAAAAAGATTAATCATCGTAATTATAACTCAAGTTGAGAAACTGATTGAATTGAACTTACGTCTCTGTTGACATTTTTAATTATCATCAAATAAAGAAGAGTTAAGCATTTGTTTGAAATGTGATGGACGCGAATGTACACCTTGGCCTTTTCGATGCATAAGTTGATTATCGAGTGACAGGTAACAATTAGATCTTGTGTTTTATCATACTGAAAAGAGAAGACAAATTAAACCATTGTAATTATTGGAATGAAAAATGAATAAGTGAATCTACCTTGATTAAATTCAATAAAATATTGAAAGCAGAAGAGACGACGATCTTTGATGGTTCGCTTCGATTTGACATTTTGATTATATTAATAATTGTGTCGACGGTTTTTGGCGAAGAGATTTTTATACAAGATTCGGGTGAGATTTTTGTGGTTGTTTCGAGTGATGAAAGGGCCGATTGTAGTTGAATGAATTTGCGATAGTTAACTAGCTTGGTTAGAGCAAGATTTGTACGGAATCCGATTGGGAGCTCAGGAGTGTCATTTACTTGCAGGGACTCGTCAACAGAAAGATGATCAACACAAACTGATATTAGTTTTTTGGGTGGACCAGTTTCAATGATTGATTGACGCAGTTCTTGTGGTGGTTTGATGGTGTTGGTCGCTTCTTTGAGAGCCAGGAATTTTCTAGCAGCCAAATGACGGCGAACAAACTTTTGAATGACAATAGCCGCTTTATCTCTTCTAATACTTTCATTAACCTTTTGTTTCTGAGCATCTGATATAAGTTTTCTGAAATGTTTCTGGATGGTTATAGTCGCTCTTTTGAGAGTCCGGAATCTCTTAACAGCCAAATAACGGCGAACAAACTTTTGAATGACGACAGCCGCATCAACTCTCTTTTTAATTTCATCGTGATCAACAGATGATTCCTCTAGTAGCTGATCATCTAATAACAACTTTTCAGGTGAACCATTTTCAACGATTGATTGACAAAGTTCTTGTGGTGGTTTCATGGTGTTGGTCGCTTCTTTGAGAGTTAGGAATCTTTTAAAAGCCAAATAACGACGAATAAACTTTTGAATGACAATAGCGGCTTCAGCTCTTTCAATTTCATCATGAAAAACAGAAGATTCATCTTGTTTCTGATCATCTGACATTAGTTTTTCGAGTGATTCATTTCCAACGATTGATTGACAAATTTCTTGGGGTGGTTTGATGGTCGCATAATATCGGCGGAAATGCTTCTGGATACTGATGGTCGCTCTTTTGAGAGTAATGAATTTCTTAGCAGCTAAATGACGGCGAACAGACTTTTGAATGACAATAGCCGCTTTATCTCTTTTAATACTTTCATTAACCTTTTGTTTCTGAGCATCTGAAATACGTTTTCTGAAATGTTTCTGGATGGTTATGGTCGCTCTTTTGAGAGTCCGGAATCTCTTAACAGCCAAATAACGGCGAACAAACTTTTGAATAATCATAGCTGCTTCAACTTTTTTAAAACTTTTATCGTGATCAACAGATGATTCCTCTAGTTTCTGATCATATAATATTAGTTTTTCGAGTGAATCATTTTCAACAATTGATTGGCAAAGTTCTTGGGGTGGTTTCATGGTTACTTCTTTAAGAGTCAAGAAATTCCTAGCAACCAAATAACGGCGAACAAACTTTTGAATAACAATAGCCGCTTCAACTCTTCTAATACTTTCGTCATGACCAACAGATGATTCCTCTTGTTTCTTAGCATCTGATAATAGTTTTTTGAAACGTTTCTGGATGGTGATTGTCGCTTTTTTGAGAGCCAAGAATCTTTTAACAGCCAAATAACGGCGAACAAACTTTTGAATGACAACAGCCGCATCAACTCTTTTAATTTCATCTGGATCAACAGGAGATAAATCCACTTTCTCCAATCTTAACAAACATAACTTAAAACTCTCTTCTTGATCAACAGATGATGCCTCTTGTTTCCGATCATCTGACATTAGTTTTTCGAGTGATTCATTTCCAACGATTGATTGACAAAGTTCTTGGGGTGGTTTCATGGTCGCATAGTATCGGCGAAAATGTCTCTGAATAGTGATGGCCGCTCTTTTGAGAGCCAAGAATCTCTTAACAGCCAAATGACAGCGAACAAACTTTTGAATGACAATAGCCGCTTTATCTCTTTTGAAATTTTCTTCATGATCAACAGAGGACTCCTCTAGTTTCTGGTCATTTGATATTAGTTTTTTGTACGGACCATTCTCACGGATTGATTGAAAAAATTCTTGTAGTGCTTCAGATTTTTTGGCTTTGATAAAAGTTATTCGTCTATTGATTGATTTTTGGGCATAGTATCGGCGGAAATGTTTCTGGATGGTGATGGTCGCTCTTTTGAGAGCTCGGAATCTTTTAACAGCCAAATAACGTCGAACAAACTTTTGAATGACAATAGCCGCTTCAACTCTTCTAATTTCATTCGGATCAACAGGAGATAAAGCAATTTTCTCCAATTTTATAACAGGTCTTCTTCTTGGTTTAACTCGTCTCTTGGTTACAGTTTTCCATTTTTCTTGGGCAACACCAATCACAATTAGTTCGAAACTTTCACCATATGAGGTCTTAAAGTGAACTTTTTGACGAGTCCCACCAGCTTTTGTAGGCTTCCATTCGATGACAACTTCCACACTTTGGTTCTCATCAACAACAATAGATGATTCTTTTATTGTAAATCCAAACTCTGGCTTGGGTACTTTGACAACGTCTAGTTTTTGAATAAAATGAGCTGGATTATGGATCTTGAAAGATTTTGTTGATATATTACCGAGCGTCACATTACCAAAATTAAGAATTGATGGTCGCTGGAAAGATTCTAATAAGAGAACCGGTGTTTCTTCATTTTCAGGGATTATTCTTTTAGGTGAAGGCGCTGGAATCTCAAATTTACAAACTCGGTGACAAGTGTTTGGATAATTAAGAGATGAGTTTTCACATTGATAAAAAGAATTGCTCATTTTTGATAACCGGAGTTTTAGACAATTGATGAATTAAAAAAGAGACTAAATAACAAATTTGTCAGATGAGATTTTCGAATTCAAAAAATGAAACAACATTCACGCCTCCGAGAAAATCAACCAATCAGAGACGACGAAGAAATTGCTCTTAGCGCCATCTGAAGTTCAGGCAACCACCTTGCTAGTGAAATTAAATTGTTAATTGATAAATTATCTTTTTGCTGTGGCAGATTAAAAATCGGATTAATAACAGTTTTAAACTAAACTGAGGGCAATCAATCGTTTGTTTCACGATGGATAATGTAGCCTGGATCGATTGAAGAGAGTTTACCTGTTGAAGTTTTATCGTCATTTATGTTGATTGATAAAATTAATTGTTGTAGTTGTTGGGAAAAGATTAGTTTATGTTGAATATATTCCAAGCTTAAGGTTGGTCAATTAGAGACCAAATTGTAAATTGAATTTTTATGGTTGTTGACTAGTTAATTGTTGTCATAATTCTTCCCTTAGGAAAATTGATTCCAATTTGTCAAGATAAGGAGCCATTCGAGCTTGAACTGATGGGATCGCTTTATTTGCTTTAACTGCTTTGAAATCACGTTTTAGAGCTTTGATTTTACCTTCGACCTGCGACACATCACGATCCACGTTACGCTGTTGTAGAATATCACTTATCCTTTGAAGAGATATCATTTTTTTACTTGATGATCTCCAAATACCGGCTGATTCTTCATCCCAAACATCAACAAGTGTTTTTGTTTCCTCTTCCGACCACATTTTTCGACCTTGAAAAGAAAACAGAAAAAGTTTAGAACAAGTTATTTCCTATTCGGATTTTTTAATAATCCTAAAGGCAAACCGATCACTTTGTAAATTTAAACATAATCAATTTCTTACCACTTAATCCACCCGTTGAGTGTTGAATTTTCTCTATTCTCATTTGTCTCAAATTGGCTTTAAAAGCTGCTGATGGGGACAATTTACAGACAGGGCGAGGGTAACGAGTTGATGGTCCAGGTAAAGAGCAACTCGAATCATCTGCTTCGTTTAAAACTTGAGGATATTCAGCTAAACGAGAATTAACATTGGCCTGTGGTTCATTGGATGCACTTTCGATTATTATTTCAGAGGGTTTAGATAAGACCTCGTGTTGGAGAATTACAAGATCTCCTTCTTCTCCTTTAGAAACTTTTGCATGAGATTCATCTTCACAGAGATCATTTTCCGAAACATCGGATTCTGAAATCTCTTCAGCTTGTGGTTGTTTAATAGAAGTACGTTGACGTCTTTTCCTTTTGTAACTACCGCGAGGCGAAGATTCCTTATCCTTAGGACTAGTTTCAACCTAGAAATTACATTAAAAAAAGAGTTTTATAAGTATTGGATTTAAAATATTCATAGAGATAAAATTTACAAAGAAATTAATCTCACCTTAATGTCCATTAGTCCAATAATCATTAGCGCTTTAGCTGAGTCCAAAACTGAGGTAAACTACTTTGAGGTTGTAACTTCCCCTTGTACATAAATTCAATAATTGCTTCAAGATCAGAGATTGACATGTCCTTGAGTATAACTATTGGATATTGGTTTGGGTTAGAAAATATGCAAAGAGATCTGTGAAATAAGGGAACATGCAGAGACCAATTTATGAGCTTTGATGGTTCCACCTTGACAGGAAATAGTACAATCGGTTAAAATTTCATCGTTGTAAAGTCTTTGGAATGCTGAGACCAAATGATTTTGGTGACTATTAAGTTTCAAACAAAATGCTTGATCCGATATAGATGAAGATGAAGCTGATGCTGATGGAGGTGCCATGGTTTTCCAAGTGTCACGAAAAAATAGTCAATCCAATTTCAATTAAAACTCTTGTAAAGAAGAAAACAAACAAACGTCGAAGCAAAGTGAAAGAGAAATAAGCAAAAAACAATTGACAACTAATCATAGTAAAATTAGCAACACCAACAATAGAATCAGCGTGCAAATAATAAAAGTCCATAGTCACAGAGAGAAAACCAGATCACCAGGAAATGGCAACAATCGATTGAAAATTAAGTTCAGCCAACATCCAAATATAGTAAAATAAGAAAGAACAAGAAAAGAGAAGAATAATTAAAAATCGTCATACCGATTTAAAAATAATAATAAAAACATCAACTTTATACCACAAGTAATGAGAGAAAATAAAATAAAACAATTAGAAAATGATCGGCCCTAAACAAATTTAACAAAATGTTTCCACTAATTAATTACTCGGTTCAATACCTTTTCACATGTAGACAATCACAAAGTGATAAAAACAGTGATGATAATCAAATGTCACACGAAAATAATTATTATCTCGAATTAGAATATAAAAGTTTGATGAACAATCAGGACGAGATTAAATAACGACCACAATTTAATAAGCTGAACTTCAGCTGCTTAAGGAAAGGAACAAACAATCACCATGGTAACCGAAATACATTTTCTTTTCTATAAGCGGTTAATTTAACATGGAACAAAATTATTCTCAATTAACAATTGTTTCCTTTTAATTTCTTTCGATTAGCTTGATTCAGTTCTCATTGAAAATCTACAATCATAGTGAATATTATCGGAAGATAATTCTTTATGTTGTTCAACTATTTTCCAATCTTGTAAACTACAGGGCTATTCACCTATTTTCGCCGATGTTTTTTGCGATTTTCTCAGCAACTAAGAGTCAAAGAGACTCGAGACTTGAGTGGTATGAGTTTGAGCAATACTCAACTGTCATATCAAAAGATCAAGGTCATTCAGGTCATCGGTGAAATAACGCGTTTCAAGGTCATCTGAAGGCAATTCAACAAACAAGAATATTCAGAGATACTGCTGACAAGTTTTGAGGTTTCTATGAGCTTTGCTATGTTAAGATAAATTTATTGAATAGAAGATTTTAACAGTTATTCAATTAAACTGTAATATCTCAAGATCAACAACAAAGATCTCTAAACTCATTTTCCAAGGTCATCTGGAGGTAATACAGTTATTCTCCACATTTTTTAACCCTGAGAAAATCGAAAAAAACATCGGCGAAAATAGCTGAATAGCCCTGTATTACCTCCAGATGACCTTGAAACGTGTTATTTTACCAGTGACCTGAATGACCTTGATCTTTTGATATGACAATTGAGTATTGCTCAAACTCATACCACTCAAGTCTCGAGTCTCTTTGACTCTTAGTTGCTGAGAAAATCGCAAAAAACATCGGCGAAAATAGCTGAATAGCCCTGTATTGAACCAAGTTAACTAGTCGTAACAAAATAGCTTCATGTTGATGGTGATAATTATGGTTATATCTTTTTCAGGGATAATCCGTCGATTAATTGAAGTTACTAATTCTTTTCATTTTCTTTCTTTTCTTTTTTCTGTAGGATAAATTTTTTTCCCCTCAAAATAATTATTCATTCAAATGTCAAGTAGTTATAATTAATTTGTTTGTTTGCATCTTTCAGTATAACAATGTCAATGATGCCCAAAGCAAATACTTCGATTTAATTTTCGCAAGAAAGACCACTGGACCACCGCTCAATCCTAAAATACATTGCACTGTGATGCAGCATTTAGATGATTTGGGCGCTAAATGGGTTCCTGCGCAATTTATGTCAGTCTATAAACTGTATATTAGTTTTACACACAAAAAGCCCGCAGATGCCCAGAATTCGGTTAGATTACAAAACGATATCGAAGCAATGAACAGTATGATTACAACAGGTAACGATGATAACAATGATAACAATGATAATGAGATTAACCAGAGAGAACAGAATTGAAAAAATGATTAATTAACAGAGTAAAAATTATTTATTTTGTTAATTCTCTCTACTCTTTGCAATCATAGTGAATATTATCGGAAGATTATTCTTTATGTTGTTCAACTATTTTCCAATCTTGTAAACTATTGAACCACTGGAGTAGGACAATTTATTAATTACTCTTGCAATTAATCAGATTTGGAGATTTGTGAATGTATGGATTGATCGCTGCTCTTAAATCAATTTTTACGGCAGAAAAAAAGACGATTTATCTCAACGTAAACGTGAACAATTGAGATTGTTAATCGGTAATGTAATCGAGAATTACTTTACCCTGTTAATAGAATCGCCAATTGTTGAACAAAGAAAAAGAAATCAGTTGATTCGAGATGAACATTTAGGTTTCTGGTGAAGAAGACGGGGAAAAGTTAAGAAGATAAGAGGGAAAAAGAGAAAAAGAGAAAAGAAAACATTGAGCCTCAGTTTGTTTTCTTTTCATTTCAGTTGAGCTTCTTCACTTTTGTACTTTTGTTTTCTTCTCTTTTTTAATTGTTCTGTTTTAATTATTTATTATCCTTTTTTTTTACTGTTTTTAAGAACAAATGGACAAGCAAAATTTCGAGTTTAAAAGAAATCTAACATTTGGTAAGTTGTTCATTTCTCTTAGCCTCTTTGTCTCTCTCTCTCTCTCCATTGTTTTCCTTCATTTTGAAAATGTTTTTGTTTACAAAATTTTCTCTTTCTTTTCCTTTGCTGCAACTTATCACTTGACTCTTAATGTAGATATGCCTCAAATTACGAGACTATTTTTTTCTGATGAAACTCGATTCAAATTTAACAATTTGTGTTGTTATTGTTTTCCCCTTTTATAGATGAGCGACAAAAGCAATCACAAAGTATGAGAAGACTTTATTCTGACAAGACTCCAATAATTATCGAGAAATAGGTAAGACTCAAGATATGTCCGTCAGCTCAACATCTTCACTTTGAGCCGATTTTTTTCGGCTTGAGACTGGTGACTATTTTTAGAAATTAAATTAATTTAGTTAAATCTTGTTAAATAATCAATTAATTAATCAAATAATAGGTGACACTTTTTAAGGACAAAAAGGCGCAAATTAGAGCACATTTTACATAATTTTTGTACTTAATTATTCAAATTAAAATAAACAAATCTTTTTCTTTAAGCAAAAATGGTTTCAACAATTAAATTAAATTTAGTTAATTTTGATCAAGTTATTGTTTCACCTTCGGATGAAGTTCCAGGACTAAATTATATTATTGATTCAGGACTAATTCCAGATGAAATGCCTAAAAGTTGTTTAAATATCAATTGTGATGGTACTATGGTGTTGAGAAAAATCAAAAATTCGAAGCTTGGTAAGGGCTTCGTTTGTCGAAAGTGTCGGCTTCAATCCAATTGGACTAGAGGAACTATTTTTGAAAAATCTAAATTGGACATTCTGATGTTTTTGAAGGTGATATTTTGCTGGTGTTGTAACAAAACAATTTCAATGACTGCCCTCGACTTAGGACTTTCTGAACAAACTGTTTCTCTCCATTATTATTTATTAAGACAAGTGAGTTAATTGGTTAGCATTACAATTTTTTCTAAATAATCGGAACTTTTTCTGTTGATTAACATTATTAGATAGGCCATGAAAAATGTGATTAAATGAGATATAAAAAGTCTTGATACGATAAATGATTAATTAGAAATGAAAAAAAAAGTTTCTCGATTTACCAATTTTTCGACTTTTGCAAATCTCTGACAAGGTATCACTTTTAGCGAAGTTCTTTTTCTTTGATCATAATGTTATACATATTTCGAATCAGCTTGAAATTCTGATTCAGGATCAGTTCTTTTTATTTAAAAACGATCAGTGGTTCGGGAGAAATGACCTGAAACGTTTGGTCAATTTTTTCGATTATCGAAAAAATTTCGATTAATCGAAAAAATCGAAAATGTTCTAATGATGATTTTAATTGTTTTTCTTGGTAGATTTGTTATAATTTGGTTAATAAAAATAAAAAATGATTGGTGGATTAGGAAAAATAGAATGTCGAAATCGACGAAACTATGGTCTACAAAAGAAAAAATCATAAAGGTCGATTGTCTAAAGATCAGAAAGAACAAGTTTGGGTTTTTGGTGGAATTGAGCGATTATCTAAGAATACCTTTGCTGAAATTGTTCCAGATCGAAAGGAAAATACTTTGTTAGAGGTAATTAAACGCTATGTTTTACCTGGAACAACAATTTATTCAGATGGTTGGAAATCTTATCAAAACCTTAACCATCACTATTATTTTCATGCTTATGTTAATCATAGTGAGAATTTTCACCCAGTCCACCCAAAGAAAAAAATATTCACACACAGACAATTGAAAGAAATTGGAGATCATTGAAATCTCATTTTCCGAAATCATCTCATGGTGAAAATTGACGTGATCATCTAACTGAATTTTTATACAAACAAACTTATCATAATCTAAAAGAACCAACTCTTAATTTTGAAACTACTTTACAGCATTTAAAAAATAACCCTATCGATGCTGAAGAAATTAATTTTAATTAAATTTTTATTTTGATTAACAATTAACTAAAACGATTAACTAAATTAATTTAATTTCTAAAAATAGTCACCAGTCTCAAGCCAAAAAAAATCGGCTCAAAGTGAAGATGTTGAGCTGACGGACATATCTTGAGTCTTACCGAGAAATATCGTTCTGAGAAACAATTACCGATAATTGATAGAAATCGCTATCTTGTACCCCAACACCTTCCATGTTCTAAGCTGGTGGAAATAGTTCGCCGCCGACTCACCTTACATCCAAGTTATGCTCTTTTTCTTCTCGCTGGTGGGAAATCATTAGTCTCCAATTCCAAATCTGTTGGTCAAGTCGCTGAACAATTCAGAGACCCTGATGGCTTCTTGTACATTGTTTATGCTTCTCAAGAAACTTTTGGCTGAACAATCTGACAACAGTGACGAATGAAAGAAAAGACAATCTAAATCATCACCATAATATTAATCACTGAGATATTGGGATGAAATGATTCGATAATCACCCAAGTTCAAACACAAAAATCTATCCATTAAGGAGCAACAATTAAAGATGATACGAATGGCAGTGCCGTTGTAATCAAAGATGAAAAACAATTCCCATTGAAATAATAAGCAATTGACTAACAAACTAGAATGTTGAATAATACACATTCTACATTGTAAATTTTACTCTAGTTTAACTTTTGTTTATTAAAGAAAAACTTTTACGAAAATTTTTCGTCTATTGGAAATGACTCAACGGTCCCTAGTTCTCTCATGTGATTTTGTTTACATTTTTGTTATCAACAACTTTCTAATTAATTAGTTAATAAGGGTCTTCATTTTTTTCTTAGTTAAATGTTGACAACTAAAATAAGTGCCTCAATTAAATGATGGATTCTTCCTCTAACAGCCTGGAAGGCTGGGTCGCCGTTAAAAGAAACATTTTCATGCGTGAAGGTGACATTGACTTTGGTGACTCGAGTAAGATCAAATTTCTTGTTGCTTATAATCAAATTGAGCAAAAATTAGCGATAACTTGTACTCAAGGAAGTCGAAAAGCGAGTGATGTTAAACCTAAATCAGTGGCCTCTTTTATCAGGTAACTAACTGTTTTTCTTTATATTTGGTCATTAACTCATTACTTTAATCTCTAACTTGACTTTTTTCTTGTAGTGTTCAAGCCTTGAAAGGGATTCACAATCAGTTGAGAATCGTTTATCCTGCTCTTGATGGTCATTTCCCAGCCAATCTCGAGTCAACGGAAGGTTTTTTACCTTATCTAATGTCAGCATTTAGGTAAATTAATTTAAGAGTAATTGTTGATTTTTTATTGAACAGAAACTCTAACTTGCTGGTGACAATCATATCGATTATCCTGAGTTTTCAGCCATATGATTTTGGTTTGATTATATTCATCACTTTTCAGGCTGAATTTATAAACAATATCTTCAATTTTGACCTTGTCATTGTTTCACCTTCTCATAGAAATGTTTTTTTTACTAACAAACTTATTGTAAATTAATTAACTGACCTTTCTAGTTATTACATTTTAAGGATACCGGAAGAAGTTGACTTGGAAACATGTAATGCGATTGAACAATATCTTGAGGTCGCAATGTCCATGGCTGGCAAAGGTCTTCTTTTGGCTCTTTTATTTGATGATGATGAAGATCCATTAAGTGACTTCGAAGAGGATATTCAAGAGATGAGATTGACAGGGTTTGAGAACGTAGTTAAAGGATGTTACACCGATCTGGAAGATGTTCTAAGGCTTAGAACTCGAGCTAAAAACATGAAAGAATTGGCTAAAATATGGAAGCTTGAAGATAAGGTCATAGCAAGTTTGTCTGTTGCAATTTCTGAAAAATATAATTTTCAACTTCAACCGTTTCTTCAACTTCGGGAAATGGCTCATAATCATATTAAACAAGCCAAAGAACGTCTTAGTGATCCAGATTTTGGTAATCGAGTCAAAATTCTTGCCAGAAAAGAGATCGAGGAATTTAATGATCAGTTTTTAAGTGCCAATGGAGCCTTACAGCATCTTTACCAAGAATATTATCGAAAAGTTGTTGATATCATCTCAGGTCAAATGATTCGTATCAAGGAGGATGAACAACGATTCGGCAAAAATGGTTTCGACCTCGAAGATGGACCATTGAGACTTCTCAAATTACAAATAAACCATAGCCAAGAGATCATCAAACTTAGAAATACAGTTAGGGTAACAAAAGAGTATAATCGGGATCAATTGAGAAAATATCTAAAATCTTTGGATCAAGATTCTGATAAGTCATCGTCCGAACACGAACTGAAAAGAACTGAGCTCGATATCATCAACACTCGACTTGAGATTCTTGCTGAAGAAGAGAAGTTGATCAAGAAAAAACTTGATTTACTCGCGATGCAAAATTCAGACGAAATTTCCGATAGCGATTTATTTCATGACGCGGTTGAAGAAACTCAAGACCAACTCGAGGAAGATTGTCCAACTAATATTGGATCCGACAAAATAAAAGCGATCGATATATTGAAAGTTGAACGTCAATCTATTGCTCGTCGACGAGCTCATCTTCGTAATAAAAAGGCACTTCTACTGACAGAATCTAAAGAAGGACAATCTATCCAAGAAAATGAAGCAGATGACACACAATCTCAAGTAGGAAGTCAAAGTGATTCTACTACTATTCGAGCTTCCACTCGAAGATTAAGTCTATTAAGTATTTGTAGTGATGAAGAAAAGCAACGAGAAGAAGCTCACAAAAAGATTCGTAAGAAAACTTTACAAAGATTGAAAGCCTTTCGTATGCGAAGTCAAAAGTTCTGTGATGAAGGTGAATTCTTTCAAGAAAAATCATTGGAACATGATGAAAGATTACCACCTTATCCATGGATTCATAGTGTTGCAGCTTCTGGTGATGGATCATTACCACCGCCTCCAGATGATGTTCACCAACCTGATTCATTCCAAGAAATGAAATCAATGTATAATATTGAAAATTTTCCACCTCAATCAAGTCTTTCAGATGAAACTACCAAGTCCAAAACTATTGTAGATAAAACTCCGGCTGCTTCATCTTTCTATGTTCAGCTGAACTCACCTCCGAATATTCCTCCACCTCCTCCTAATTGCCCTCCACCACCACCTCCTCCACCTCCTCCTCCTGCTCCATTCGTCTCCCTGACAAAGCATCAGCGTGATAAAGCATTTGTATCATGCATGGAAAAAAGTTTTCGAGGCAAATCACAGATTGAAGAGAAAATTGATTCATCATCTTCAACAATTAATCTCAACGATATACTGAATGCACGTGGAAAATTGAAAAAATGCGAACCAATAACAAAAGAGATAAACGAAGCGAGTCAAGTTGCTCAAAATCTGATGAACGCTTTGAATAAGATCAGAGCTGCTCGACGTGATTCAGATGAATCAGAAGACGAACAAGATAATTCAAACGATTTCGATTGAAAAACTCCAATAATCGTTTTTTATATTTGATACAATTGAAATCGGAAAGAGTTAGCAGCATGAACACTTCAGCATTTTCACCATGTTTTGTTTAATGCTGATTTTCATATGAATTCCGATAATAATTTAGGAAAGAAATCAATGACTAAATAGTTTTAATCATCTGAAATGCGCTGAAGTACAGAGCAAATGACGCACTGAAATGGTCAAATTTGGCATATAAGCGCTTTCTAAGAGCTCAATCATCAATTATTGTCTAATTTGATAAAAAAAAGTAAATTTATAATTATTTTGTTTAATTAGAAATGTAAAAAAGAAAACATTTGTATTATTTGTACACGAAAATTGCCTAATTTGATTATATTGATTGATTATTGACCTCGTCCAACACCAATTCCTTTGAATTTTGTTGGTTCGTTCATTTTAACAATCGCCCATTAAAGAAAAAATCACGAATCACACCAATTAATTGTTCCTTTGTTCCAGATATTCCTCGAAGTGTCATTCCTTCCGAAAGTCCACCATTAGTTGGACCTTCAACGGAATTGGTTCCCTTGGCCAATCGAGATACAGCTACTTCATGATCATCCATATTCAAAAAGATTCTTAAAAAAGAGACAATCAAATGTTAACATTGATCATATTCATTTGAAATTTTATATTCTCATAGCTAATATACAATATTGTACGAATTTCAGGTCAAAAAAACTAATAGTATCGCTAATTTTTCAAATTGAAGTGATGAAAAAAAAAATCGACAAAAATATTTTTAAAATTAGTTTTTTGAATAACTTTTCGATTCATGCTCAGATTTTTATGAAAATAGTTTGTTTAGAATCAGCTTAAAATTTTGTTCAATTGAGGTTCAACTTAATTCTGTCAAGAGATAGAGCGAAGATATTCAAAAAAGAAAGTTCGATTTTTTTGCATTTTGACAAAATCTAATTTTTCCCATTGACAGCCATGTTAAAAGCTCTCATAAACTTAACATTTATCAAATCTCATCGATTTTTTTCCTTCAACTTTGGAACTCAATTTTGTCCGAACTAATTGACTAATTGAAATTTTTTTTCCTTCATCAATATGTTAGTTAATTAACAATAATTCAAATAATTTTCAAAATTTTAATAAAGTTCGTTCTTAAAATATTACGATTTTAGCAAAAGTTTCCAAACTTTTTCCCGCAGGTTATTTAATTACTTTCGATTCCTTTTCGATACAGTGACTGTATGGAAAGCACCATCGTTCACTTGGACCTCTGATATAAGTAAAGTTTCACCCGAAACGAGCCTCTAGAAGACCTCCGATCACTGCCACTGAATAGTAGTGCTAATTTATGGAAGACAATTGTTATTCCAATTGCAATCAAATTAATGTGATTTTATTGTAACAGTTAAATAATTGTATACTTACATAATCTCGAACCTTTTAGTTTTCCTTTGGAAAGTGGACATAATCAGTAAAGTTTCCGATTGGTTTGTTTTAAAGGTGAAACTAAAGTCGCTCTCTTCTCCAAGAGGTCGACTATTCAATTCCAAGTAACCTTGACCTGTGAACTTGACAATTCGAGAGGTTCGATCTCTACAACCGGAATTACACCGTAATTCTCAATGCTCAGTAAATTCAATGGAGTTGTATTGATCTGAACATCTTTCATACAGCCCAGGAAGTGTTTGAATGTATTGAGTGAGAGATACTCCAACCATCGATCTCTTTCAGCAGCTAATCGAACCCACTGTCCATTATTGTATCTCTCCCGAGATCTTAATTGTAATCGTGATCCAGATCCAAGATTAAATTGGTACAATACTCACTCGTCTTGAAGGCAAATCGACACGAAATCTCCAGTGTCTGGGTTGCCCAAGAAAAAGATGATCGCGTCTTCATCAAATGATCTGAATTACAGAGCGACGATGTACTTTTCTCTGCCATATCTTTGGATCTAAAGTGAGAATCAAAATTATTATCATTACTTATTAATAGTCGACATTGATTCGCATCTCAGTCGACTGATCATTTCCTGATCTATTGTAGCATAAGAACTTTCACCTTTGAACTGCAATGCTCCTGGACCAATGAGTTCGGTCACACCTTCCATGCAGCCTCGACATCCTTGAGAAGTTAAGACGGGGGAAAGTTAAGAAGTGAAGAGGGAAAAAGAGAAAAGAAAACATTGAGCCTCAGTTTGTTTTCTTCTCATTTCAGTTGAGCTTCTCCATTTTTGTACTTTTGTTTTCTTCTCTTTTTTAATTGTTCGGTTTTAATTATTTTTTATTATTTTTTTACTGTTTTTAAAATCAAATGGATAAGCAAAATTTCGAGTTTAAAAGAAATCTAACATTTGGTAAGTTGTTCATTTTCTCTTTACCTCTTTGTCTTTCTCTATCTCTCTCCATTGTTTTCCTTCATTTTGAAATGTTTTTGTTTACAAAAATTTCTCTTTCTTTTCTTCTTTTTTCCTTTTTCTTTTTTCTCTTTTGCTGTAACTTACTTATCACTTGACTCTTAATTATTGTGAGATATGTTTGCTCTCAAATTTCTCTGATGCAACTTGATTCAAATTTAACAATTTGTGTTGTTATTGTTTTCTCCTTTTATAGATGAGCGAAAAAAGCAATCAAAAGGTATGAGAAGACTTTATTCTGACAAGACTCCAATAATTATCGAGAAATATCGTTCTGAGAAACAATTACCAATAATTGATAGAAATCGCTATCTTGTACCCCAACACCTTCCATGTTACAAGCTGGTGGAAATAGTTCGCCGCCGACTCACCTTACATCCAAATCAGGCTCTTTTTCTTCTCGCTGGTGGTAATTCATTAGTCTCCAATTCCACTTCTGTTGGCGAAGTCGCTGAACAATTCAGAGACCCTGATGGCTTCTTGTACATTGTTTATGCTTCACAAGAAACTTTTGGCTGAACAATCTGACAACAGTGACGAATGAAAGAAAAGACAATCTTTCAATCATTTAATCCCAATTCCTGAGATATTGGGATGAAATGATTCGATAATTACCCAAGTTCAAACACAAAAATCTATCCATTAAGGAGCAACAATTAAAGATGATACGAATGGCAGTGCCATTGTAATCAGAGATGAAAAACAATTCCCATTGTAATAATAAACAATTGACTAATAAACTAGAATGTTGAATAATTAACATTCTACATTGTAAATCAATTACAATGACAACAATTTGATTATGCAATTTGTTAGGAAAGTTGAAACTATTCTTTTAAATCTTGTAGTTTATTTGATTCTCAATCTCTTTCACTAGTCAATTTTTGTTTTATTGAATTCGAATTGACCAAAAATTAACAATCAAACAAATACAAGAATCGATTTCAGTGTTAATATAAACTTAAATTTCTCATAAGCAATTAGCGGTTTCAATTAGCATTCTAGCATTTTATTTCTTTGAAAATCATAATCAGTTGATTGTGTCTACAAATTCAATGATCATTTTCTCAATTGATGATCAAAGTCACTTCACTAAATCGTGAACTTGCGAAACAATTAACTTTAAATTACTTCAAACCAACCAAATGAGCTAATTCACAATCTTTTTCCTCTTTAGCATCAAATGATTTAATCATTTCGATATAATCTTCGGGTAAATTATGTTCGATCGCCCCTCGGACAATCACCTCTTTATACACGATGGTCGGTATTCCGTCCATAGAACCAAGGATTGTCCTTCCTCGAACCTTTTCCTCTTCCGTTTGGACATAAGTGATACACTCGATTAGTTGATTGTCCTCTTCACTTTCAACAGTAATCGCAATCAACTTGTATCCTTTTTCTTGTAAATTTAATTGTTCCAAATCCTTATAAGTAATCGACCAAATGATTCCAATGACTTGAGACTAAAAGATGAATAAAATCATTTGAAAACAAAGCATAGAAATTAAATCGCAACAATTAACAAGAATAAGTCAATTACCCCTTCACTTGGAATCACATCAGCTGTTGCTCCTTTCCACAGGTTAGAGTGACCAGAGAACGTTAATTTATAATCACTTAGAATACCGATCGAAATTTTAATCGAACCTTTCAATTTGACTCGAATTCGATCCGACAACAAATTAGATCCATAACAAAAATATCGGATTGTTGATGGAAAAGACATTGATAATTAATTCAAAACGAACAATAAAAAAGAGAAAATCGATAAGTAATTTAAATGATAGAATTTTAAATTTTCTCTAGTCGATTAATCTTTCACTTCAACAATCAGTTAATTGTACAAAAAGACAAAAGGTTGAAACCAAATGATCGGCAAAATTGTTCATAACAATTTAAAAGTACAAGTTGAAACATTCATTCAATGAACTCACCTGATTGTTAATTTCCTTTTTTTTATTGTAACCATAGTGATTATCAAATGAGAAACAATTTGTTTACAATTAAGGGTTTTTTACCGATTAGAATTGATTAACCAGAAATCAATTCGATTTTTGTTGATTATTTTGATGTTACACGATTTAATGAATTGTTCAATAGCAAATGGTTTGTATATTTTTGAGAAGATCAAAAAATTAATATTTCATTTTAATGTTTTACATTTTTGATTAATTGATCTGGTGATTGGTAATTATCAACATATCAATTAGAAAAGAAATGGAAAAGAATCAATGTCAATTGAGTGGGTCAAAAAGGTAATCATTTGTGACAATGATCCTCATTTTGATTGATTGCTAATTGTTTTCCATTCTCATAGACTAATCAGTTTACAGAATTGAGATTTAATTGAAACGAAGAAATTATTTACAATAAAAGACTTTTGTCACTTCGATGTCGACTCATGATCGCTTCGGCTTCCTTGAGGTAGCCCTCTTTTTCACCAGAACATGACAGACACTGAGTGGGTAAATGTTTGCCGATCAGAAACAAAGCATTGGCGATATCTTTTTGGTCGTTTATGGACAAACTGTTGTTTTCTTCCCCAGCGGCACAAATTATATTGGAAAGTCCGTTGTGTCGTCTCTTTCGAAGTGCTCTTTCTAAAAGATTCTGAGTGACAAGTGGATTTGATCCACTGATTAGACGATAAGATCCTTCGTATAAGTACAACTTTGTCTTTCCACTTGGAATTAATTGTGCCATATATCGAAGAGTCGATAAATCTTTTCTAAATCCTCGAATGTGATACTGACTTGGTGAAAGAAATGAATCACAATTTAGTTCCCAGAGTCGTAATCGAGTTGAAAGTAACCATTCGGTACAGAGTAATTGGAAGGCTTGAATAATTTGCTGATTACAATCATCTTGTAACTTTTGGCTCTCATTCATTTCAATTGATCTCCATAGTTCGTAACTCGCTCGATCCAAAAGTTTCATTAATATTTTCGTATCTTTGGGCTTCTTTATTTGAACATATTTTTTCATCTTTCCACTCAAAAGAAGGGTAATTGCCAGTGAATTGTTTCGAAGTGTATCTGGAATAATTAAAGTTACCGAATGAGCAGATGAATCATTACCAGTGAACCAAAAATAGGCCGCTTTGATTACGTTACTCCACCAGAAAGCGATGTCATCGCCAAATAGCCGACTGTTATTTGATAGCTCTTCGATTACGGCCAACAATGAGATCGATTTGTTAGCTCGACCTTTGTTACTTTTGGCTGGATTATTTTCGGTATTAATACCGCTCTTTGGATTCATCATGGTTAAGATTGATTTCTTGATCAAGTAACGTCGATACTCTCGTGAATTATATGTAAATGGATCAACAATCTTCTCAGGAGTTTTAACAAAATCGGAAGATTTATCCGATAAATAGTTCCAATGATGATGCGATTTGTTGAAAAATTTACGTCCAATTGGATTAAGAAGATAATGTTCAATCTTATCAGTTTTACAATAGGACAAAGCTTTTCGTAAAAAGTATCGAGCGTAAAGATTTGAGTTTATCTTGAATCGAAGAGCTGCCAAAATGTGAGAACTAACCAATGGACCGACTTCAGAGGCCAAAGCTTTCGATTCGTTGATAGCTGATAAAGCGTAAAAGTAGCCCATTAGAGAAAATTTGCCTTGATTGACAATCAAATCGATGGAATTGAGTTTACAATGAAGAAAACAAGCAATCGACAGTAATTCTTTGCCGCGATAATCATAATCTTCTAACCAGCGACCAATGTAGAAAAAGTGTAACCAAAAACGAACCAATTGCCAAGTAACGGCCATCACTTCACCCGGAAGAGTTTTAGGAAGAGCTGATCGTCTAATTATTTCAAGAGCAATCATATAATTGTGTTGGGCAGATCGAATGTTTCCTTTTTGAAGATCTTGATTCGCTTGGACCATGTAAATCCAGTACTTTCGATCAGTTTGATCTGAGATTGAATAGTGATGAAAAGCTCTCCGTAGAGTAATGAAACAAATGAATATGTTCAATAACCAAAGAGCAATTGATTTCCAATAAGAGAACAACAATTCACTCCATCCAAGTGAGTTATCTGTATGCCAGATACTGAGAATAGAACGACCTGAACCATGATCAGTAGTTCCCATGAATGCTGATGTTTGTCCGATATCATCTGAACTCAAGAAGATTGAGAAAGGATTGAAAGCAAGAAGACCAATGACAAAGACACAAAGTAACATTCGTGATCCATCAGAGGCCCAAATAATTGGTGATCCAGGTTCGGAGGAGATCGGATTCCACTTTGGTCGGGTGATGAGGCTGATGATGAACAATCAGAAAGTGGAGGTGTGATGTCTTGTGAATCGGTGGCTGGTACACTTATCGGTGATTTAAGTGAGCCACCGTTAACCTCACTCGAAGCTAAAGCTGCTTTAAGTGCTAAATTTTCCTGCCTCAATTTATTGTTCGCTGTGGTTATGTGATGTATGAATTCAATTGCTTTTTTAAGTACAGCCGATTTGTTTAATTTAGCATCAGTTCCAACTACCATGTTCTTTAACTCTGTTATTTTATCGTTGATTGATGATCGATACCTTCTTTCAATGGCATTATGTGCCGTTCGTTTTTCAGGCACTGCGTGTTTGCCTCGCTTTGGACTGTCCAAGTCACTTAATGGTGATGGTGGTTCGCGTTTAATTGATGATTGAATGTTGGATTGTCGTGAAGTGATCTGAACAGGACTTGGTGGTACTGGTGTCAAACGGTTTATCGCAATTTTATCTGGTATTGGGTCAAGTGCTTTTTGTAAAATGATCGGAGTGGCAGCAATCAAAGTGGTTGTAGGATTGGCCACTGAAACGGTAACTGGAGTGGAAATGGGAACACCTTGAGTGGTCAGTATTGAACTTGAACCATCCGTTACTATTTGAGCATCGAAAAAGTTATTTACTTGACCACCAGTTAATTGTTCCGTTGTTAATGGCATTTTAGCTGAGGTATTAGTCGTTGTTGTTGGTGCAGTTGTTGTAATAGAGCAATTGTTTGACTGAATTTGTTGAAGTAAAGCTTCTTGAACTTTTTGTTGAATAAATAATTGTTGTTTCTGCTGTTGTTGCTCTCGTATGATTGATATTAAATCATTTAAATTGATTGGTACAGTTGTCTTACTATTTTGATCAAGACAAATAATTGCAGGTTCAGTGTTTTGAGTGGCTGATGTTGTTGTGGTGGTGGTTGTTTGTTGTATAACAGGTTGAACAGTAGCTTGAACTTTCTGAACTTTTATAGATGAACCAATGTCCATTGGTTGACCAGTCGTATTGGTCAATCCAAGTTGAGTTTGTGGTTGAATTGATTGATTAATAAATTGTTGGACAGGTTGTGATTGAACGGGTGACACTTGTACTGAGGTAAATTGATTAGGAAAAGTTTCGCTGATCACCAAAAAAAAGAAGAAATAAAAATAAAATTAGATACCAGACGAACAACATTAATCTTCAAATAGAACGAGAAAAAAATCGAGTTATTCTATTACCTTGATTCCAAAATCGGGGAATTTTTCGGTGAACATGATTCATCCATTGACTATAGAAAAAGAAATAAAGTAAATAGAAAACAGTTAGATTATATTAGATGAAATTGAGAATTGAATTTACCTGAACTGGATTGAACTCCGATTTGATGTCTCCCAGTAGATCACCAGATGATTCAAACTTGAGTGAATCGGGTGTCAAAGCGGATCCCTCTAAATCAGTAACATTGAATAAATCACCATTCTCCAAATTTAACATATTAATATCAAAACATCCGATTTGTTGTAGCATTTGATCAAAATCATCCTCATTATGATCACCTAAAGGAGCATTAATCTGATTACAAGTGAAAACATCATCACCAGTAAATGGAGAAATGAGTGAAGATGAATCAAAAGTAAACCCATTAATCAAACCATCTTTAATAGAATTGATCTCCATGATGATCAAGAACAAACTATTTTCCAAATAATATTCAATAACCAAATTATAATAACAATAATAATCAAATAAGAAGGAAACAAATCAAGGTCTCATGACACACAGAAAAACATAAACAATGAGAGAGAGAGAGAAGATAAAAACAGAATCACTTTGACTTGAAATCCAATTTAAAGATGTAAATAAAAGTCACAACAAAGATGCCCGGTGATTAACTACATATTAAGATTAACTATTAACTAATTAGAAGCGCAAATGATTGGAAGTTAATTAGAAATTAAAAGAAAACAATCAATCCAATTTAAAGTAAAGAGAAAAGCAAATGTGAACTCGCCTGATGAGGAGGAGCCAAAAATATCTTCCGATTTGAAAGAAACTCCTACTGGTGAGATTCAATCAAATGACTTTAATCAAATTCTCGTCCAGACAATTAAATTTAATTCTTGTTTTCTGTTTTACAGAACATCGATGATACGCTTTTTCTTCAGTGATAATCATCACCATCTCTGGGAATTAACTCCTTTCCTTGTCTGGTTCAATTCAATTCAGTTCAATTCGGGTCTCATGATTTAGTTAATTGTTTTCGATTCGATGTTCTTATTATTGTTTTCTAAGTGTTTGATTTGTAATCGTATGTTTTTAGAGAGAGTGTGATTCTAATTAGTTGATGATTAGAATATTACCTGATATAATTGGAGTTTTATCAATTCAGTTTGTATATTTTGTCGGGAAAAAACATGAGCTTTATTGGGTTAATATTACAGAGTTTAAATGAGAAAATTTTTCAAACATTGCGAATTTAAATAATAATTGTGCATATCGATTGAGTTTAAATCAATTGTGATTAGTTTAGATTATAATTAGGAAGAAATGATAATGATTTGATAAGTTCAATGGTCAGTTGCCGTTGGGATTTAAGTATTAGATTAGAAAGAGATTATCAATTTGATTTAGAGTCGGACTCCGGGGACATCGGGTAAAGGTCGTTTAGGATTTTCTCTGAAATTTGTTCCATATGGAACTCGAAAAGTGGAAAGTGTTGGTGAGTTGAGAGGAAAATCTGCATAAACAGCCTCAGGGCGACGAGAACTCATGTAACGAGGTTCAATATCTTGTTGAATTTGTTGCTGTTGTTGTTGTTGGAGTTGTAATTGTTGGAGTTGCTGAAGTTGTTGTTGAGACAATTGTTGTTGTTGGGGTTGATTTCTTGCGTTAATTCGTGATGTATGATGAGAGTAAACTGGTCGAGATTTCTTATGTGGCCTTCCTCCGGTTAAATAGTTCAATTGTGATCCTGCAACAACTTGTTGATGAGCGGGAAGTAAAGGAGTTGCACTCCCGAGATGTCCCAATCCGGAGCGTTGTCGTCTCAATGATCTTGCTTGATAATGATCACTATTAGAAGAGGGTAAATAAGCGACATTATCATATGAAGCGTCAGGAAGTAGAGCAGTAGATGAACCAAGAGCTGCCATTCTCATGGCATCGGCGACCTCTGAATAGGTATGAACAGCATAAGGTGATGGACCATTCATTAGAAGTGAACTTGGAATCTGTGAATGATTAATGGTCACTCCAGCGGCATCGAGTTCAGCATAAACGGGACTAGAGGTACAACTACCTCCTTCAGGGATATTAGTGTATTCCTCAATTTCAGCGATTCTTGGGTCAGAAATTGAATCACGAGAACAATGATTATCATCACTTCGCCTCCAATATTTACTTGGAATTGAAGTTTTAGTTGGACAATTGGTTATAACACTTTGAGGTGACTTCTCATTGACCACCGGTGAAATACAATTCTCTGATTGTGAACAAGGATTTGGAACTGCCTTTTGACCTCTCATCATTCCTTCAGGGAAAATTGGACAAGAGTCAAGCCCACAGACTGTAAATGAAAGAAAAAAGAATAAATTAACTTTCGAATATCAAAACAATTAGAAAACGAGTGATCCACCAATTGTATCGAAAACTGATTAAAGAAATGAAAAGTTAGATTCTTCACCTGAAGGGAACAATTTCCATCTACAATAGAAAAAAAAGAAAAAATCATAAACGAGAATTAAAATTTCAAGTTGATCATTAAATTTGATAACAAATTGTAAATTCTATCAAGTGAAACTTACTTTCTGAACTTCACTAGAATGAAAAGCAAAATGATACACAAAATTGTAGATCCAAGAACTGAACCAATTAATAAAGAAAACCAAGAATCGTGAGTTTTAAATTCTGGTTTAGGAACAACAAGCTCCGAATCTGTTGGATTACTAAAGACATGACAAAAGTTACAATCATCTGATCTAACATCAACCACCGAGTGATTCTCAGCTAAAGCTTGAATCAAATAAGGAGGCAAAGGAGGTGGAGGTGGTAGCCAATCAGGTGGAGGTCCAATATCACCAATTAAACTACAGAAAACATCAGGACAATTAAATAAACTGTCATTATGAGACCAGCCCATTGATGGTAAAGGAGGTAACATTTCCTCAGCAATCGGTCCATTGAGACCATCAAAGCTTTCAGACAATCCAAAAGCCATTCTCACAGGAACAACTAGACAATCAGCATAATAAGAACAAACAACCAATCAATTAGAAAAAAAATTACAATCAAAAACACAATTAAAAACTCACCAACAATTAATCACATCAAGAGATCACCAATTTCCAGGTCAATCCAAACCCAAATTCAATTCCAAAACAATACAAACAACAATCATTTCCATCTAACGGTTGGAATACGAAAGAAAAGCTAAATCGCACACGAATTAATCTCCATGAAAGGAACCATTAAATCAACAATTTCTAATCTAATTCCGTAACAATTAGTAGATTATAATTGCTCCAATCAGACAATTCGTTAAATGTTAAAATAATCAGTTTTCTCTCAGCTGGAAATGAGAGAGAGAGAAAGAGAAAGATAAACAAATGAGTTGATCATCTGTTCATCTTCAAGGTAAGTCTTTTGTGTCTCTTGTTTATTTATGTTTCTAATTTCATAATCAACGATTTAATTTAGTCATTTGATTGTTTCTATTATTAACTTTTTTCTATTCTCTTGCTTTTTAATCAATTGTCTTAATCATTTCCCTTTCCTATTTGATTCTCATTGTTTCTCCTTGTCTGCTGGACGTATTCAATTGATTCTCTGTTTACATGATTACATTGATTTTCTAATTGTTTCTTTTTTTTATTCTCTTTCTTTTTTCCTTTTAGTTTGTGAATTAATTAATTAATGGCAACTTTGGATTTATTTGTGTTTATCATCTTAACCAATAGTAATATTATAACCAGGAAGCTTTTCTATTAAATTATTTACTTGTATTCATCCCAATGGATTATCATTCAATTGATAAGTGCTCATCATGTTACAACCAGAAAATGAGATTTGATTGAAATGTTTGTTTAGATTCACTAATTGTTGCTGTTTATGTGTTGGTGTTTCTAATTGTTTTCTAATCATTTCCGTAATATTTAATGTTATATTGTCTTCGCTGGACTATAACTCATCTTGATCTCTAACAAGTTAAATCTTCAAATACGAAATGAAGTTTTCTTAATCATTGAAGTCTGATGTTATTATTAAGGAATCGCAGCAATTGGAGTCGATCAAGAATCAAACATTTTCTCTTAATTATATCTAATCTTTATCTTAATCAAGATTGGATTAAATGTCATCTTAATTTATAATCTTCTCAACAAAAGGCTAGTCTTTTATATCCATTTTAATAGTGATGAGAAAAACATAATGACAGTTTAATTGTTGTTGATTAACTAGTCTTCATTTCTCATGGTGTATTATTATTGTTCATCATCAATATTTTAAAATCTTCATCTAGTCGTAATAATTAACCAATGTTCATCTTTAATTGTCATCAAATTTACCCAATATTGTTTTCTATTTATAATTTGTCTCAACACTTTTACATGAACGAATAACTTAACAATTGACTTAATCATGACTCGATTTTTTAATGTAATCATATTCATAACCTTCATTTCCTTAATTCTTGGTAAGTGATAATTGTAACTCCTAACTGATTTAATTGTATTAATTTCTCTCTCTTTCTCTTTGACATTTTAGTGATTCTTTTCTATGTTAAACTTGATCTTTATCATGAAAGCCATGGACTAATTAGTAGGACGAATTCACCTGACAGGACAAGTTACTCAATTCCTGATGAAGATCATATTCAACAATTAACACAAGAAAATCAAATTCTACTTGACCAATTAAAAGAGCTTGAACTTAGAATTGAAGTGTTGGAAGGTTCATCTACCAAGAAAGTTCCGGTTACTCGTCGATTATCATCACCTGAACGTAAACGAATTCTGGTCACTGGTGGAGCGGGTTTTGTGGGGTCACATTTGGTCGATACTCTAATGAAAAGTGGCCATGAAGTGACCGTAGTTGACAATTTTTTCACTGGTAGAAAACGTAATCTACATCATTGGTTTTCTCATAAAAACTTTGAATTGATCCATCATGATATAGTTAACCCTTTATACATTGAAGTTGATCAGATTTACCATCTTGCCTCTCCAGCCTCACCTCCTCATTACATGTTTAATCCAGTGAAAACAATCAAGACCAATGCCTTGGGGACAATTAATATGCTTGGTTTAGCCAAACGAATCGGTGCTAGAGTTTTGGTTGCGTCAACATCAGAGGTTTACGGAGATCCTCAAGTTCATCCACAATCGGAAGATTATTGGGGAAACGTTAATCCAATTGGACCAAGATCTTGTTACGATGAGGGTAAACGAATTGCCGAAGCGCTTTCATATGCTTATGCTAAACAAGAAGGTGTCAATGTGAGAGTTGCTCGAATCTTCAACACCTATGGACCTCGAATGAACATGAACGATGGTCGAGTTGTCTCTAATTTTATCATGCAATCACTTCGCAATCAATCAATTACCGTTTACGGTGATGGTTCACAGACTCGCTCATTTGCTTATATCGATGATCTAGTTGATGGTCTAATTAGACTGATGAACAGCAATTTCTCCCAACCAGTTAATCTTGGTAATCCCGATGAATATACTATCCTACAATTTGCAATTCTAATTAAAAATCTAGTGGGTACAACCAGTCAAATTGTATTTACCGATGGTGTTGAAGATGATCCTCAACGACGTCGACCTGATATTCATCGAGCTGAACAGCAATTAAATTGGACTCCCAAAGTACCTTTGAAAATTGGATTACAGAAAACGGTTGAATATTTTAGGAAAGAAATATCAAATTTGGAATAGTCATAATTAACGAAATTGCCAATCAAATGGATTATTTTACCAACCATCAAAACGAACAATTTGCCATAATTTAAACTACAAAGATAGAAACTACAAAAATGAATTAATCATGATACAGTTCAATGAACAGAATGAATTGTTAATTTGATCTCTTCTTGATTTGTGCCAGACTTAGAATGCTGATCTAATCAATTTACAAATTGTTATTATTTATTTAATCACGAATGAGGGAGATAATCAACAACTTCTCTCGCAGGAATCAACGAAATGCTTTCATTACTGTTGCCTCTAAAAATGGAACAATTAATTTCCAATGCGAAGTTTAACACTTTAATTAACATAATTATCTTTCATCATCTCATTTATCGAGTCATCTTTGACCCATCCGAACCATTATTAAATTTATCTTTATCACTAAATCAATAATCACATTTTTGTTTATCAAGAATAATTTCAATTGATTGATTTGATTGTTTTAGATTATAAAAGGAAAAGATTAAATTATTGTTTCTCCGGTGCTTTTTGAATCTAAACCATGGAGATGTTGATTAAGGGTTTCGAATAGTTCAGAGGCCGATGGACGTTCAGACGATTTCGGGTTAGTACATTTACGAACAACCTCTCGAAGTAGCTCGATGATTCCTTGATCTTCCGGCGATTTAACATAATTCTGCTTATTATTAACCTCCTTCTTCATCATCATACTCTGTAATTAGAATAAAACAAATATGATTATTAGTACAACAGGAAGATAATATTATTCGGATTGATTTATATTCAGTTAATTTCATCTCTATCAGTTTCTCTCACCTCAAGAAATACTAAAAATCAACAATAGAAAACTTTGTAATTGTTTATCAACAATTACGCAGAAAAAAAAATCCCACCAAGAGATTTTAATACTTTATTGAAATAAAGTAAATTGTTTATTCAAAACAAACACTTTAAATCAATTCAATGTAAACAAATTATTACATGAGATTGTTCAACAATCTCACAAGTTTTTCAATGTCAGTTGTAACATTGTTATTATATTTATAACAATATACACATTATGATAACAATGAATACGATTCACAAATTGTAATAAAATCAAAGACAATCACAAATATTCAAGTGCAATAATTTATCTAGCAAATTATTGAGCTACCAAGAGGAAATGATGGTTGAATTGGTTGTTTCAAAGGAATAGGAAAAGGCCAACAAACCACAAGAAAAACAACCAATCAAAGTACATTAGCACAGAGGAACATGAAACAAGATGGAAAGTCGTTCTTAATTACTGACCAAAAGTTAATCAACTCAACAAAAAGAAAACAAAATAAGAGAGAGAGAGAGGGAAAAAATAGTAACCAAGAGTAAATCTGGAGAACATATCTCAAAATGTTTCAAATAAATTGAGAAAAAGTAAAGCAAATAAACAACTGATCAAAACGATAAAAGGTCCAGGTAAATATAAGCGTAAATTGTTGTTTGATTAAATCACTTTTACATCAATGGAAAATGTTAATCTTTGAGTGAGAGAGAGAGAGAAACCGAGAGAGTAAAGATGATTAACCAGAGTAGAAATGATTTGATTACTGTAACTCACTTGATCTTGTTGAATGGCCTGAGGAAGGGAAGAGAATTAAAGAAAAACAAGGAATTATATGTGACAGTTGAATTGCGATAAATTGTCAAATAATGAAACACAAATAAAGAAGAAAACAACAAACCTTGTGATCAATTTGAAGAGAAAAAAAAGAAAAACAACTCAGTAACCATGGAAACGAAAGAGAAAGAGAGATTATTTTTCTTCTATTTGCCATTTACATTTTCTCTTTTATTGTGTCTAATTCAGTTTAATTGTAATTCTTTTTATTTTATTATTAATTTTAATCCACAATTGGAATGGTTCTATTATGGCCCATTTTTTCCGAGGTATTTCAAGATATTTGTCAGGTAAGAATTTTAATTACACTAATTAGTCTTTAAATAGAAAAAAACAATTTGATCAAATTTCCTTTTTTCATCCTCTATGTGACTCTCTTTCTTTCTCTCTCTTGACTTTCTGATTCTTCATCATCATCTTTCTTTTCCTCTTTCTCTCTTTCTCTTTATTTGCTTATTTCTCTTACACCTTATGTCTGATGTAATTTTGTTATTTTCATGTAAACAATTTCAATTGGTTTCTAATCAATTTTACTCGTTAAAGAATATTTAAAATATTCTCTTTAGAATTTTAATTCTCTTTCAGGAGTATATTCTTTTTCCATCCTCTCTCTCTCTCTTCTTACTTTTACCTAACCTTATGTGTCAAAATAAATTGTGACCTAACCTTTCACTAATAGGAGTTTGCCTTGTAAATGTAATGGCGGTTATGGTTATGATGATATTGAGTGAAAATTATTTCCACATTATAGTGTAACTTTTATCTCTAATTGTTACAATGTTTTCTTTTTTATTAAGACCTTTATTTTTTTCTTCTTAATTTCTAAGTTTTCCCCCTTTAGGTTCGTTTGTACTTGTGTTTTTTTTTCTCCACTGATTCTACAAAAGTCTAGTTTATATTCTTAACATTTTTATATTCCATTTGATCTCAATCTCTTCTCATAGCTTAATTTTTTTTCTCTTCTCTCTTTCTCTTTTCTCTTTCTATTTGATCAATGTTTTTCTCTTTAATTTAATGTCCAATTTCATCATTAACTTGTTTACATTTATTATTTGACTTTAACATTTTCGTTAGATGGAGTTACTGTTAACTCTTTCTATTCTTAACTGATTTCGTGTGTTAATTAAACTTGTTATGATTATATTATTACATTGAATTGAATTTTGGAAGCTTTTATTGTTTAACTAAATTACGCACCTAACCTAAAATCAAGGTTGAGTTGTTTACAACTATTTTTTTCCTGTAACTGTTTTTATATATTAACGATTTCACTCACAATCAGTCAATATATTTATACTCTCTCTCTCTCTTTCTTTCTTTCTTTCTTTCTTTTTCCTTGTAAATTTATTTATCTTCTCCACCCACTCAGGTATATTCCATAAGAAATTCTCTGACGAAGTTGACTTTTCACCAGGAGATAGGCGAGGATCTTCCAACCGTAATGGTTCCAGTATAAGGTCAAATGGTCGAACTACTAATGAAGATTCGTCCATTGTCAACGAGGGAATTGTTGATTTTATCTCAGTCGATCCTTCAGTGATTGATATTAAATTGAAGTGGGAAAAATGTCGCCTCAGTTTAGTATCCACGTCGACTGGTTACTCTCTTCACTTTTATTCTCCACCCAAATCAGTTAAATCCAAAGCTGAACTATTGTGTTCATCCATAGTCGAAGCAAGGGAAACAACAGTTCTAGAAATGCCCGATCAAGATTACACTTTTGTCCTTAAAGCGGAAACAGGATTGGAATATGTTATCGAGGCTTCCAGTGCATCTGAGCTTAAAGATTGGTTAAACATTATTCATGCATGTATGCAATGTAATAACTCCGAGAATATTGATTTAAATAATGTTGGTCTCACAGAATCAAACATTCGCAATGGTTCAATCTACAGACGTCACCTGAACTCGATATCAAGTGCGAATGGAGAAACGACCAATACAAACAACAACAGCACCAATGGTCATACCTCATCTCCAAATAATTCACAACCAAGTTCACCTTTGACCGGGGCCAATGATATTTCCCTTTTTCTCTCCCAATACCCTTGGTTTCATGGTTTACTCTCTCGAGCTGATGCCGCTGAATATGTTCTACGTGAAGGTTCATTAGGACATGGAATTTTTCTGGTTCGCCAGAGTGAAACTCGTAAAGGCGAATATGTTTTAACATTTAATTTTCATGGTCGCGCGAAACATTTAAGATTAACCATAAATGGTGAAGGTCAGTGTCGAGTTCAACATTTATGGTTTAGAAATGTTTTCGATATGTTGGATCATTTTCGTGTTCACTCAATTCCTCTCGAACTTGGAGGAACAGCTGATGTTACCCTCACCGATTTTGTTATTTATCAACCATACACACCTCCCAGTCCAACTCACAATTCAACAAACCTTTCTGACTTACAAAATCAACATCATCTCCATAATCATCATAACCATAATAATAATTCAACCCAATTCTCTCATCAACAATCTCAGTCTCTCAATAACACAGCCAGTGTACCAAACGGTAATAATAATAATAATAATACTTCAAATTCGCAGCCCAATCAAAATAGTCGATCATCAACACCAAACAGTAATTTCGAACCATCATCATCATCTCCGGAGTCTCGTCATAACTATTTACGAGAACGTGTTCCATCAATACCCGAAATTCAAGAAGTAATTACCTATGGAGGTTCAGTGCGCCTTCGAACTGTATCACTGGAGAATCTTAATCAACTTCAATCACAACATTTAGCAAGTGTTAATGGAACAACTCGAGCTGTTGATAATACTTATTCCTTTATTTAAAAACCCATCTGTTTAACCAATTAACCTTTTACCTTTAACTACTCTCTCTCTCTCTCTTACTGGTAACCAGTATTGCACCAACATGCAAAGATTATTTGGTGATTTTGGCTTAATCGGGTTAATCCAATTTTGATACCCAAACCTCTGTATTATATATTTAATCAAAAACTCGCAACTTGTATTTTGATGTGAACTGCAAGTCCAGATTGCAATCGAGTCTCTCTTTTTCTCTCTCTATCTCTCTCTCTCTCTCTTTCTGTCTTTTCTCTCTTAATTTAAAATCTATCAAAAATTACTCTTGATAATCACAAAACAAGAAGTGAATTATCATCGGATTTAAATTGGTTGTATTGAAAAGTTGATGATCTCAATATCGCATATCATCAACGTTCTTATTATTTTTGTTTGTTTTTTGGTTTACTTTGTTTTCTTTTCTCCCTCTTCCTCTCATCTTCTCATCATCTCCCTTTTTTCATCTATTGCTCAAGGAGCAACATCCACATTCATGTAAACATTTTACAATAATCTAGTCCAACCTGAATTAACTGTTAATCAAGAGCAAACTGAAATGAACGAATAATATTATTAACCATCGATCAATTCATTAAGTGAATTAACTTAATTGTAACAAGAAAAAAGGTTGATGGCTTATTGACATTTGTTTGATCTTCCTCTTACTCTTTTTCTCTCTGTAAATCTAATCTTTTGTCAATAGAAATTTTGTCAAAATCCCTAAAATCAATTGAAAAGAAACAAAAAACCAAAACTGTTCTCAATTAAAAATCAATCCAAAAGTGAAAACATCAAATTAATAATCAATTTCTTTTAATTTTGAAAATTTTACTTGGTTCATTTCTCTATAAATGGAATTATTGAAACGTTTGAATTATCCCCAAGAAAAGATACTTGATTATTATTGGAAGAATCAAGAACTATGAAAATGATAAAATTCCAATTTTGATACGATTAAGACAAT